ATAACAATAATAATAGTAATAATTTATTTCTGGTAGTATGGCAAAAATGGAAACCACATAGGTGTTAAGGTCAGCTGGACCTATGTGCCAATTCTGTCTCCACTTAGTAGCTCTGTGCGGTTAAGCTCAACCTTTCTGAATAGGTAAGAGGTGGGTTTTGTGAGGATAAGATGAAATGGCTCACACAGAGTGTATGTTCAATAAATGGTCATCCCCTCCCTCTTCCATCTCTCCATAGTGTGGAGCCAAGGCATTTCCCATTCTAGTTCATGGGCTCCTGAGGGTCAAGAGGAGCAGTCTGTCCTGTCCTCTGTTGCATGTAGACCCCCTAAAAACTGTGCCTCTGTAAATTGGTGCCTCCACTCCCACCCCATACATATGGCTAAGACTGTTATTTGAATTTTGATCATGGCATCTACTATTTATCTCAGTTTTCTCTCCTGATCTTCCTTTTGCCCACACTGGGAGTGTTTGTATATATCCTCATAGAGGGTAAGACAGAAATCATTACTGGCTCAGTCCCAGCATTAAAAAAAAAAAAAGAAAAAAGAAAAAGAAATAAAAGTAGTCACTGGGTAAAGTGCTTATGTGCACTGTGCATTCTGAATCAGGTCCTGCTTTATACATACAGCATGCATATAGCATGTATATGTACATATTTATATACACACATGTGTTTACATATGGCTTCCGGAATCTTACATACACACCATTCTACAGAAAAAGAAAAACAGATCCCAGAGAAATGTACTTGCTGGCCCACGTCACACAGCTTCTGAACTGCAAAGGCTGAATTTGAACCCATGGTATTTAACCATTCTGTTAGGCACTCTGTGCCAGAAACACCTGTTTGCAGGCACTGACCTTGGCCTGGGAAAATTCTATTAATTGACCTTGTAGAGCTCCAGCCTGGCCTAACCTGGAGGTGATAGCCAGCCCCTCCTCTTGCCAGACAAGTCTCCTCACACCTTATGAAAGAAGACCAAGGACGAGAAATGTTGTGGTGACTCCCTTTGAGCTCCTATTTCTTTCTTGTTGCAAAAAAGTGCTTATTTCAGCATCCATCATCTCCCTTTTTGTTGTGTAGACAAACCACCCTGTCGGAGGATTTGAGCTGTTATTATGAGTTTGTTTATTATTAGATTTCTCCTATAAACAAATGTGTTCACAACATTCCATCGGGAATCTTAATTGTCACATAAATGTCATCTTACGTGTAAATTGAATATTTATCTTTCCATTGAAGGGGGTGGAGGAGAAAGGAAGAATAAACAACCTTCAGTCTTGGAGAGGGAAAGGGATTCACAACTCACCCACGTGCCTTCTAAGCTAAAGGTGAATTGAAAAAAAATTAAATCATCTTGGAGGGGCAGCAAGAGGGAGAGGGGTAGAAAAAGTTGGCAAAGATGCCTTGGGGAATGCTGGAGCAGGCTCCTAAGTTCCCCCAAGCCCTCAGCCAGATCACCTCCCCACCTGGGGGCATTCCTAGGAGGCTAGAGATGGCCCCCCAACACTCCCCATCCAAGGGGCCAGCCCTTTTCCTTCCTAGAGAGAAGGTGAGCGCAGCGGGTTGGGTGGGTGTGGCCCGCGGCTCTGGGAACCAACCCAAGGCCCCGCCACCGCCTGCTAGCCGCCCGACAGCCTGCCCGCCTGGCGAGCGCAGGCTCTTCTTCCAGAAACTGCGAGGATTCAAGCGCACTGTTTGTGCACCACAAGGTCAAGTCGGGAAGTGGAGCCGGAGGAGGAGGGGCGAGGAGGCAAAGGGTGGGGAGTGGGGCGCCCCGCGTCTCCACCAAGTGCCAACCTTTGGAAGTTGCCCCTCGGTTTTTAACCCTTTAGGGGTAATGGGAAGGACGAGCAAGGAAGAAGGGCTTGCCCCGGGGAAAACTACTGAGGCCAGGACCTGCAGCTACCCAACCAACTACCCACCCTTCACTGCGTTCCTCACCCCCCGGAAATGGGGGCAGCGCTGGGCGCCAGGAGGCACAGAGAGGGGGGAGGGGGCGACGAGCTTAAGAAGGACCCCTCTCCATGGACCGCCTCTCTTTTTCTTGAGGTCGCCCACAATTTCAAGTTTCCCCCGCCAGAGATGTTAGTTTCCATTTGGAGTGGGTGGGGGAGGAGAGCCGCGCCCCCTCCCCCAGACTAGTGCGCGCCCCTCCCCTGCGCTCCTGGCAGCACTTTCTGCTCACTTCTGGCGCTGCAAAATGCCACGCGATTTATTCGATTCAGATTTTAAAACCAGCGATTCAGAAACAGGGCCGAGGGCGAGGGTCTTCCAGCGCTGGAGTCCCGGGGGGGCGGGGTGCTCAGTGCAAGCCTTGTTTCCTCCGCGAGTGTCGCCTCCAGGCTGTTATTTGCAAAGAAACGTCTTTTTGACGCAGGGAGAAATGGCAAATTTTAAGTACGTCATTAATATGGCGCCAAAAGATTTTTTTTTAAGTATAAGCTTGCTTTTTTTTTTTTTTTTTTAAGGTTGTGGGGGGCGCCGCCCGGGTCTGGGGTGCGAAGGGGGCGGGGTGTGAGCAGAAAGTGTGAGTGAGAGAGTGGAGGGGCGGGGTATGTGTGTGAGTGTGTGAAGTGTGAGCCGACCTGATGGGACTTGCACGGGCGCAGCCGCCGCTCGGGCCCGGCCCTGGGGACAGGGCGGGTTGGGGGCGCCCCAGAGTCCACGAGGAGTCCCGGCCCCGGGTGCAGGCGGGCGGGGGGCCGGGCAGGGCACCCTCCCCCCGCCCCTGGCCCGCAACGCTACCTGGAACCGCCGCCCGAGCCAAACAACTAGACGCGGGGGGGGGGGGTTGAGGGGGGGACGGCGACGGGGGGTGTCGGGAGCGGAGATCCGAGTGAATAAGAAAAAAGTGGCTACTCCCCCTCCCTCTCTCCTCCTGCCCGCCCCCACCCCACCCCCACCCCAACACATTTTTTTTTTTTCTAAAGAGATCACAAGGAAGTCTTGGTTTAAAAAGAAACAGAAACATACACAGGGGGTTGGTGAATGGTGCCGACCGCGGCCATCGCAGTTGGAGGCTATTTTTTGGGGGGGTGAGTAGCGTCCATGGAGTTACTTTGCGCCCACTCCTAGCGGCACCGGCTCGGGTCTGGCGGGCTGATCGTCCCCAGCAGGGGCGCGGGGCCGGGGACGCCTTGGGGCCAGCCACCTCCCTCGCCACGACCCCGGATGGATGCGCGCCCCCCGCCCTCCCGCGCCGGCCCCAGGAGCTCCTGGTTTCGGGAGCATCCTTCCCGCGCTGGCCCCCGCCGCGGCGCGTAGCCGAGGGCAGCGCCCCTCGGGAGGGCACCGCGGAGCAAGGTAAGATCCAGCCCCCGGCGTATGGGCCCTGCGCATCTCCACGGCATTATTTTGTGTTTTTGCAACAGATCTGCCTGCGCTCCTCGCTCCCTCGCTCTCTCTCTTGCTCGCTCGCTCCCTCTCTTGCTGGCTGCCGGTTCTAGGAAGCCAGCGCGGGGGTGGGGGGGGATGCACAGCACTGGGGAGAGAGATTGCGCATGTTGGTCAGTCGTGTTTTAAAGAGTACAGTGCGGGGAGGCTGAGAGGGGCGCATGCAACAACTTTTGGAACGGTGAGCCTGGCGACCTTCTTTATTAATGACTGCGGCAAAGCGCCCCTGGGCCGGCGAGGGCGGGCGGGGGCGCGCCGGGGCTGCAACTTGCCCCGCGGGCTCCGGCCGGGCGGTGGGGCTGCGGCGGGAGAAGGGTGCTGGGGGAGATCGAACGGCCTGGGGCGGGGGTTCGGAGAACCCGGAGGTATCTGCCCTTCTGTCGCCCCGAGTTTCATTTTGTTGATACGCAGCACGTCCGGGCGCCGAAGCAGGCTGAGCCGGTGCACATGACCCTGTGCTGGGCTCACGTGCAGCCGGTCCGGTCCGAGATACCTTCCGGAGGCCACCGCCTCCGCCTTGCGCCCCCTTCTCCCGGCTAGGTGCACGCGGGCGCTGCACGCGGGGGCAGCATGCACGGCTCCAGGGCTCTGAGGCTTTGCAGAAATTAGAGACAGTTTTTTTTTTTTTTTTTCGAGGGGCGGGGGACAACCTTTCCAGGTGAGTGTGGAGGGTGCGCAGCCCCGGCGCCTGGGGCGCGGACTGGGGTTGGGGACAGCCCCCCCAACCCCCCCGCCTCTCCCGGGCTGCGCGGGAGTCCGGCGGGGGAGAGGTGCTGGGAGAGTGGAAATGTACCGGCGACGGCCGGAGCGGCGGGTGCGCGCTCGCGGGGCGACGGCAGGGGGCGTGGCCCTTGTTTACCTTCTCCCAACTCTGCCGGTTCGCGTCCCGCTCCGGGAACGGCTCCGCAGTCCCCTGCCCTCCGCCTCAGCCCTTCCACTCTGGGTGATACGGTGGTGCAGGAAAGTGGTGGACCCTGCCTGGGACACACGCACCTGACCCCCAAATGAGTGACATTGAAGCCCCCGCCCCCACCAAGCACTGCTGCAGTCCCTTTGCCGGATCCCCGGCCCCGCCCCGCCCCCGGCAGTGGCATCTTCCCGGCTTCACCTCCTTCCTCCCTCTCCCTCCCTCCTTCCCACCCACTCGCCTGCGCCTGCGGAGCGGCTCCCGCCCGCCTCCTCCCCGCCTGGGTGCAGACTTGTGGCTCCCCGTGGTCTCTTCCCGCCCATCCCAGGGTCCTGAGACACCCAGTTCTCCCGCCGAGGGATAAGCTGGGGCCAGCTTGGCCACTCATAGCTCTTCTGCGGGAAGATGAGGATGTCTGCAAGACAGGCTGGAAGGCTCCACTCCAGCTTCCATTGGCCTGCCCCCCCCAACACCTCCCCAAACCCTGTCCCCCTACTACACACCGCTGCCCTGCTCCCCCCTCCCCCCAGGGCCTTGGCGGCCCTACCCTGCGCCTCCTAGACCCCTCCCCCGCCTGGGATGTCAAGCCCACCCACCTCCTGGCGCCGCCCCCGGCCCGAACCGCCTCCAGCCCTTCGCTGGGGCCGGAGCCCCCCGCAGCTACCTCCGGCTCCTCCTCCCGGCGGTCGGAATCACGCCGGCGCGCCTCCAGCCTGCGGTCCCGCGGACTGCCTCCTCCAGGGGCAGGATGGAGGCGCGCAACCCCCTTTCTAATCCCCTTAGCCACTGCAGCGGGCCCGGGCACTTTTTTACCAGCTTGACCGCAGGCCTTGTGCAGGGGGCTGGAGAGGGGGAGGGGCGCCAGGTTTCTTTCTGCTAAGGGCACTTTGTAGCCGGCACCTCAGGTCTGCAGATTTCCAAACCTCGCTCCGGCGCCTAGCACCTCAGGTTGTTCTGCCAGATTGGAAACAAAGTTCTCTCCAGGGGCAGAGTTTCTAGGGGGTTATGGGGAGGGCTCATTCTTGTATTCAGAGCAGTGCCAAAGGAGTTAAGGAGGGGCTGAGTGCCTGAAGCCCTGAGCTCAGCCCAGACAAGCTGTTAGATTGCCCCTTTAACATTAATGTTTGCAAACTGACTTCTGGGTCTGGGAGGTGGTAGGACCTCCTGGTCCCTCCTTCCAAGGTGGCACCGACTCACTCCTTTCACTGGTAAAATTCCCAGTAGGACATTTGGCAAAAGGGTCAGGCAGAGAGCTGCCAACCGGGCCTGGCCCTGTTTCCTGGGCACCCAGGGTGCTGACTTATCCCTACCCTGATTTCCTCTCTCACCTTAGGGCCTCAAATGAACACACCAGCCCTCCTGTCCCATCTTCCTTGGGCGGGTTGGGACTCGTCTACCAAGCAGGGGAGGAAAATAACAACAGAATAACTGTAAAGGGGGGAAGGAATGAGTAATAAAGCTGACCCAGGCAGGGAGGAGGACTTTCATGTTTAAGCGATGCTATTTGCTTTTTAGGTCACAGGCTGCAAAAACAGGCTTTGATCCTAAGTGGGCGAATAATTTATTGAGAAAGTTTGCATGGTAGGGGAAAAAAGGATGTTTGTTTGATCTGGAGCCCTCTGAGTTATCCCAAGTGCTGTTGGCTGTTGTTTTGAATGGAAAAGCATTTGGTTCCACAGCAAATGCCTCTCAGAGGGAAGTCCTCGCCCCAGGCAGCAGGACTTAGAGTGAATGTTGGTTTTGAACTGTTTGGCCAAGGGTCTCCCCAACACTTTTGGAGATGAATTGTTTAAGAACAGAGTTGTTTGGGCTCTGGATGCAGCAAATGTTTCCAGAATGTTTTCCCATCCAGCGTGCTTTTCCCTTCTCTATATTGCCTGGCTAAATGGCTGGCGACACTGATCCAAGAGCCCGTCAGATAATCTTTTTCACTTAGCTGTCATTGACAGGTGAGGGAGGACTGCTGCTGCCCAGGTCCTAGATGCACCTTAGGCCTTTGACACTAACTCCCACACTTTGAGGTTGTGGGCAGGGTGTTCTAATTATAACTGGCGTTTCTATGAACAGGGAGGTAAGGTGTCTTACGCTTTTGACCCAGGTCAGAGACTTACACTCCAAGAGCACACGCCACAGGCTGTTTTGGGACCTTACAGTTCTTTAGGGTCTGCGAGAGGTCAGAGTTGAGGGGCGGGTACCTGTGGCTTGCCGTGTTCCCCATGTAGGACCCTTACTATGTGGCTTTAGTGCTTACAATTACAGGTCTTAGTTCAAAGCTAAGGAACTGAGGAACTGGTTCTGGAGCCTCATGTAGGCCTCCCAGCTTCCTCTCAGGCAACCCAGAGGAGATGGAAATACCCCCAGCCACATTGGAAATTGTAGGCCTGCACACACACTAAAACCCTCTGGGATGGAGTCCCTTCTGGATGGAGTCAGACAGCTAGGTTTGAGTCCTTGCCAGGCAGTTACCAGCTGTGATGAGGCCCTCAGTTTTTTCCTCTTGCCAGTGGGATTATTAACAGGTCCTACCTCATGGTAGGTGTGATAAGTGATATATGCTGCATTAAAAAAGACCACGTCCAGGGCTGGGTATGTAGTCCAGTGGTAGAGCACTTGCCTACCATGGGCAAGGTCCTAAGTTCAATCCCCAGCACTGCAAGAAGAAGAAAAAAAAGACTAAGCCCAAAGCTAGGCCTGTGGTAAGCACTCGATTAGTATTAGCCATTCTTACTGTTATTACTAGTGACCTGGGGAGGGTCTCAATGCAGCTTTGACCTTTGATCTCTCACCTTTAGGCTAGGCCAGAGAGCCAGCTCCCTTCTCTGAAGAAGAGATCAGAAGGACCCAGCAGGTGCCAATGGGAGCAAGTGGACCAAGCTTTGCCCTCTCTGAGGTGAAGAGTAGGGTGAGGAAGTACTAAAGGGTGCAACAGACAAAGCCTCTTCATTCTCCCAGGGTCCTCTGGCTGTGTCCCCAGAGCTGCTCAGGAGGGTGGGGTTGTCGACATGGTTTAAGGGAGCCAGTCCCTCTGGGACACTTGGATTGCAGGTGTACAGCAGTGGTGGTGGAGGAGGGTTCGGGCTCCCCTATGCTTGGAGAAGCAGGGTTGAGGATTGTAGGCAGCAGCCCTCTGCCCTGTGTGCACAAAATCATTTTTGTTACTGCAATTACTGTCCCTGAGAAGTCATTAAAGTTAATGAGAGATAGGAAAGAGTGGGGCTCTGACCCACGTTTCAAGCGGTTTAAGAATGTGCCGCTCTTGTTTTCTGAATGTCTGGCCTCCCCGACACAAGGAGGCTCTGAGGACAGGTTTTCCAGCCGAAATATCATTAAATTGTATTAGCATCTTATTACACACACGCCTTAGCAGTCTGCCTCAGACAGGGAGAGTTTTTGTTTCTCTTAGAAAGATTGTGTCTGGAATGGTAAATTGCCTGTTTGAAAGTCCTTTTCCCTCTTCTTTTAAGGAGTGGGATGAAATCCTGCTGTGTGTGGTGGCAGGCAAGGCAGGCCTGGTGGCCCCGGGAGAGGAGAGGCTGGAGGCCAGGTTGGGGTGTTTTAACTGCCCCGGGAGTGGTTGCAGTAGCAGTCTTGAAAAGCTCACTGTTCCCAGGGTCAGCTGGAGGGGCGTTAATGGAGGCCCGGGGTGTTTATTTGAGTTTATTTGCAGAGAGGTCTTTAAAGGGGGGCTGGCATTGGGCAGTGGTGTTCTAAGGCCAGACCTGAGGCCCCCACTAAGACCAATGGCCAGTGCTGCCAAGAAAACATCTGCCACCAAATTGCTACTCTATTACTGAGTTGACATTGATCATTAGCCAGGAGCCCAACCAAATAAAGCCTCCTGGAAAATGTGTGGGGTTAAGACAGGGAAAGCGGGCTGTGAAAACAGGACAGAATCTTGGCCTGCGGTGTTTGTTCCTGTCAGCTCCAGGCAGGCAGGCCAACTGGGCTGTGTGGTCCCCACACTGTAGGAAGGGACAAGAGCACACCCAGCACCCCCGTGATGTCCTGGGTGCAGTGTGAGGGGTTACTTGGACTCCTGCAGGGATCTAACCAGACATGCTCCTTACACACTCCCAAGGAGGACAATCAACAAGTATCTCAACACGCAGCTCTACTGGGCCCTTTAAAGACCTCGAACAAGGGGGCAGTGAATTTCTTTAGATATGATGATGGGCAAAAACTAACAAAAGAGACATTTAAGCCCAAACCTGATGGGTGAATAGTCAGAAGCGCATAGACCACATAAAAGAACATTACAGGCACAGGGCAAGCTTGTACCCAGGTCTGGAAGCACGGAATCTTCTTTGGCTTGTGGGAGCAAATGAAAGGAGGCCAGTGTAGCTGTAAAGTGGTGAGGAAGGGGATGATGGTCAACGTGAATTTGTCAAAGTGGGCAGGGGCCAGACTGTAGGCTCTTGTGGTCAGGAGTTAAGACTTGTCCTTTGATCAGCAGGAAGCCTTTGAAAGAGTTTCAGTGGGGGCACGATGTGATCTGATTTATGCCTTTTAAAGATCACTGTGACTGCTGTGAGGAGCCTGGATTATGAGGGGAGCAGTGGTGAAAGCTAGGAAATGAACTTGGGGTCTAGGCAAGAGATAAGATGGGCTTGGGCAGGAGTGGTGACAGTAGAGGTTGGACACAAACGGATGCATTCTGGAGGGAGAGCCTGCTAGATTTGCTAGGAGTTGGGTGTGGGTTAGAGGACACAGAAAAGAGCCTGTGGGTTGCTGCTGTCGAGGGTCCTCCGGGACACCCATAGTCCCAAGAAGAACTTCCTGCCTGTGTCTCCATGCTTGAGGTCACAAAGGACATGTAAATGGGCTGGTATGAATGGCAGAAAAAGAAGACCTTTCTTTCCCTAGAGTCTTCTTTTACAGATAGGATTTTAGGACCACTTTCTTTTCCCCAAAAGCAAGTATCTTATGACACTGAGGTTATCTTCCAGAGGAGCCTTTGCCTGGGGAGAGATTGGGGGGGCCATGATGAAGACTGAACACCTCCATCCCCCACGTACATCTGCAGCCGTGGAGTTCAGCTTCAGTCAGAAAACCCGTCCTTACTCAGGAGGCAGAAGTGCAGAGGATCACAGTTCCAAACCAGCCCGGGCAAATAGTTAGTGAGACCCTGTCTTGAAAAAAAAAAAAAAAATCACAAAAAGGAGTGGGGAGTTGCTCAACCTGTGGACCTTGAGTTCAAACTCCAGTACCAGAAAAAAAAAAGTCCATCCAGTCCCTTTTGTTTGGCTGGAAGAGGTAATTTATGGAGCAAAGGGTCATCTGTCAGAGAGGCTCAGTCCTCTGCATCATTAGCCACTGTAATGGGGGCGGGTCACTGCTCACTTGAGGCAGAGGTCTTTTGAATGGACTTTGGTTTAAAGGAAAGAAGCTTCACTCACAAAACATTGGGTCCCCTCTAAATCCCATTTATTATTCCAATAAAGCCACCACAAAATCTCCTTTAATAACAGCCTCCAAACGGGGCAGTTCTAGCCCAGGAGAATGATCCCAGGGCACTCTGGGTATTTGGTTTAGAGCTGACTTGGGCAAGGTGTGTGTACTACCAACAGGCCACCTGTTGGTCCCTGGGCAATAGGACACAACATAGTGAGAAGGGTGTGGACAGTCATGAAGTATATTCTAGCGATCTTTCCTTACTGTATAGGGTCACTGTCCCTTCTGTCCAAGGCATCCTCATAGGACTGTCCACCCTAGCCTAAGGCTCTGTGGTTTTTAACAACCAGCAACTGTATGGCTCCCTAGCCATTGTGCTGAGGGCTTTATGCCACTCTTTAGTCGCACTGGCTGATTCTGGCCCACAAATGTGTTTGCTTTGGCCCTCTCAAAGTGTTTAAAAAATTCTGACCCACTTGCCAACATTTTAAAAATTCAGGAGACTCACGTAAAAATCCAGATCCAGTTCACCTCCTGGGAGGCATGTCTTTGCCAAGGTCCCTGGTCTAATGAGGGATAGGGCTGGGATTTGAAAAATCCCGCCCCCCCCCCCCCCCCCCCCCCCGCGCCAGCTCTGTCCCCCTCCGGCCCATATCCACAGCTCCTGCTCTCCTTCCCCTGGGTATGGGGATCGAACCCAGGGCCTTGTGCAAGTTAAACACATGCACCACCACTGAGCTGTGCCTAACCTCCATGGCGCCTGCTTATGTTCTTTTTTTTTTTTTTTGTGGTACTGGGATTTGAACTCAGGGTCTAGCCTTGAGCCACCAGGCCTTTTTTGTGATGGGTGTTTTTGAGAAAGGGTCTCAAACTGTTTGCCTGGCCTGGCTTTGAGCTGAGATCATCTTGATCTCTTGACTCTTGAGTAGCTAGGATTACAGGCGTGAGCCAAAGGTGACTGACCTGCCTTATGTTCTTGATAGTGAGACCATAGAGGTTAAGGAGGGTGGTGGTTGTGGTTGTTGGACTGCTTGCTTTCAGCAGCATAGAGGTAGGGAAGTCTGAAGGTCAAAAGTGTTGTGTCTGAGGGAGATACAGTACCATCATCTTGAGTTAACCGCTGAGCCTTCACGTGTGAAAGGGAAGCAGCTGTTGTAGCCACCCACAACCTAGGGCTGTTTAATGGCTTAGTGAGGTCCTTGTATACCAGGGATCCCCCATCTTGGAGCAGATGCTTAGCAGTCTTAGTATTGTTGCTTTTGCTTCCTTGGCATCTGAGCTGCTGAAACCACCAGATGTCCCTGGTCCCTTACCTTGTGGAGTGCACTTTGCACCTTTGGGGCTTGCTGCACAGCCTCGAAGAGCCTTTCTGCCATTTTGTGGGGGATACTGAGGTGGAGAGAAGCTCCTAGCCGAGGCCAGGTGTGAGGGAGGAGAGTCATCCTGGTCTGCTCAGAGGTCTGGGTCACCACAACCCACCTTTATGAGTGAATGCTCCCTGATTTCTGTAGGGCTGCGGTAAGAAGGGGGCACCCTAAAAACAGACTAAGGTTAGGGGCAGCTGGTGTGAGGTGACAGAGGCTGGACTGCAGGGCTTTCTCACTAGGACAAGGATTCCTTCCCTGCCCTTGGCTGTGGGCGGGGAGGCCATTCCAGACCATATGGTGAAGTGTGCCCTGGACCCTGAGCTCCAAATCGGTCTCAGTTTGAGAGCTACAGACCAGTTGTAAGAGCAGGTTACCACGCTACTCTGAGGGGATGAGAGAGCAGGTTCTGCCATCCAGGACTAGAGGAAGTAGTAGGTAGGCAAACTTTTTGAACAGACCAGAGGTGATGGATTGCACAAAGGCAGCTCTGTGTGGGCTCAGGGATCAGACCTTCAGACCTTAGGTCAAGTCACTGTTGAGCAGCTCATGGCTCACGACTCACCATATGTTAGGAACATAAGACAGAGCAGGTGAAGGGTTAGCTCTGTGGGAGACCCCTATGAGGGTGTCATCCTTAGGATTTTGAAGTTAGACAGGCCTTTAGATATCATGGGTTTGTACTTTATTCATAGAACAGTGAGGGGCAGGAGACATCGGCAGCCCAGAGCCAGCCACCTGCATCTGATGTGTTGTAGAGGCCTACCTATCTTATTTCCACACCCTCAGGATTGTCATTTACCTCCACTCACCTCCATGCCATGTGCTGGAATAATCACTCTTGTTTCCTCTCCTAACCATCTGCATGAGTGGGTTTTCTGGTGGGCCCATTTCCTTGAGTGGGAACTGGGGGCCTGCTGACTGCCCACTCTCCCAGCCTTCTCTGCAACATCTCTCGCCAGACTCCTGCTGCTCTGAGGGTTCTGGCCTCAGAGGTTGGGCCTCCTCTCCCAACTGCTGAGCCTCTGAGGGTGGGTAGGGAGTGGGTGAGACTGGCAAAGTAGGCTGGGTAGGCCAGGACCTTATCCTCTTCTCTCCATAGAGGAGTGTGGGGAAGTAGGGGTTGGGGTGATTTCCTGAAAGATTGAGGATTTCCCAACCTTTCCATGAGTGTAATGGGCCTGCCTTCTGTTGCAGATGGAAGAGAAGAGGCGAAAATACTCGGTCAGCAGCGACAACTCTGACACCACTGACAGTAAGGCCTCCCCACTTGGGACTTCTGCTGGGAAGAATTTGAGTAGTTACCAGGGGTGGGAAGAGACTGCTCTATCATGTCAACACAACCCAGGGCCATGCTGATGAAAATAGAAATCCAGGCAGGTCCCTCTGCTCCTGGGTCCTCAGTCCTTGCTCTTACTGTTGCCTTTGGGGCCTTGCTGTCCCACTACCTATTGAGAACTGAGTCTCACTCAGTGTTTAGCTTTGGTTAGAATGGATCAGCTACCCTCCTCAGGGCCTTTACATTTGCTGCTTCTGGCAATTTCTAGAAGAAAAAAGTCCCTCTGGCCTTCCTGTTGAGTCAGGGCCCTTTTCAGAAGTCTCTGTATCACATACACAAAGCCTGTTGCTATTTATTATAATCACTGATAAGTATCATTTCCTAACTAGTGGTAAACTCCCTGGTTAGAAGGGCTCTTGCCTTGCTCACTGCTGTGTCCCCAACTACATTCTGGCACATAAGTTGGTGCTTGGTAAATGTTGGCTGAAGAAATAAATGAAGAAGCCTAATCTTCGTGTAATAGAATCTCAGAGGTGGGGCCCATGTGTCAGTTGGATGGTTGATGGTGGGGGTCAGGGGTTCCTGGAGCTTCTTGAAATTTAGAACAGAGAAGGGGAGGGGGATGGCGTGTGAAGGTGAGAGCTCTTGTTCATTATGAAGTCATAGCAGCTGTTCTCTGATGGCCCAGGAATCCAGGCCTGCCTGTGCCTGTTGGAGTTCCATCTGCCATGGTAGGAGGAACTGCTGCCAGGAAGATTCCCCCTTGCAAGGCTGCCTTGGTGGAGGCCCAGGCTAAGAATGACGCAGCTTTGCTAGTGAGGGTGGGTCTGGAGCCTTGTACATCCAGACCTATTTGTTCATGAATATGTGGGGTCGGCAAGGCCTGTCCTAATTCCCAAAGTTGCACAGTCCCCATGGGCCGGAGGATAGATGTGCTAAGATGACTGATTAGCTTCCAGCCCTACCTTACCTCCAGGTCTCATTCACTGTCCTCTGGGTTTGGCTCTGGTGTCCAGCGTGGCCTGCCCACCCTCCCTGGAGCAGATCACAGCACCCAGCCTTCTGTTGCTGCAACATGCTGCTTGTAGCTTGGCTTAGTAGAACCAAGAACCACGTCCTCTGCTTCTAACTTTAGTGCGGGAGAAGGCCAGGCACCTTTGGAAGAGGCACCTGGGCGCCTGAGCCCTGGAGCTGCATCAGGGTGGGCCCAAGCTGGAGCTGGCTCTCTCCCCACCCCTGCTCACCCATGGTTATTACTTTTATTCAGCCAAAGCCTTGAGTTTCCCTTCTCCTTCTTACAGTTCTTTTAACTCTTAGGGGCCAAGAGCACAGCCTTATAGTCTAGCAAGGGCTTCAGACTCTATATAATAACTAATGTTCATTGAAGAATTGCTATGTGCTAGAATTCTTAGGAATCCTAAGATTTTTAGTCAGCCCTTTGAAGACAGTCCATCTCTTGGCCCCCGTTAGTTTCATGTTACTACAACGAAATATGTGAGATAATTAACTTAGAAAAAGAAAGGTTTACTTAGCTCACAACTTTGGAGATTTCAGTCTATAATCGATTGGCTGTGACCTAAGGGCCTCCCATAAAGCTCCAAGCCTCTCCCAGTAGCTCCCTCCTTGGGGCCAAGTATTTAATACTTGGATCTTTGGTAGACCGTTATCCAATCCACAGCACCTTTCATTTTTTGGAAAAGCAAGCAGGCTTATGATTCCAGTGTTCAGGGGGCTAAGGTGGGAAGATCAGGGCTAGCCTGGGCTAGGTAGAATTTCCTGTCTCAAACTTGGAGAGATTAAGCCTAAGGTGACAAGTGGGTAAGAGGCTGGGTCAGGTCTGCAGCCTGGTGGTCTCTAGGTCTACTTCCCACTGCTCTGCCCTCCCTGCCTCTGTAACCCACTGGGCATCACGCCAGAGTACTGTTAATGCACTTAATCTGGAGCAGGCTGGAGGCTTGTTCCAACTCTTTTTTTTCTTTGGGGGTGGGGTTGGGGGTGGGGCTGGTGTTTGAACTCAGGCTTCATGCTTGTAAAGCAGGCACTCTAGCACTTGAGTTAGGCCTCCAATTCATTTTGCTCTGATTATTTTGGAGATGGAGTCTATTTGCCTGGGCTGGCCTCAACCCTTGATCTTCAGATCTCAGCCTCCCAAGTAGCTAAGATTTACAGACATGAGCATTGGCACCCAGCTTCAACCCTCCTTGAGGGAAGGAAATGGAATCTCAAAGAGGACCAGGCCCTTCCTTGTCTGAGGGCCACACAGTATGCTAACACAGAGCCCTGGTAAGCGCCTTTGATTTCTTGAGTCCCTTCTGGTTGGCGAGTGGAAAATGGTTTACGTCCTGGTTCATCATTGGAGAGGTTGAGTCCCAGAGCAGGGGCAGTTGTATCAGCTGCTCACAGAGGCCTCCACCTCCTAATGATTCAAGCCAGAGCTACCCCTTAGAGCTTTCCTATCTTTGGACGAGGGTGAGTGATGTGCTTGGCCCTCCAGGATCCCTCACGGGCTATTTTCTTTTGCAGGTCACGCTACATCTACATCAGCATCAAGATGCTCCAAACTGCCCAGCAGCTCCAAGTCGGGCTGGCCCCGGCAGAACGAAAAGAAGCCCTCAGAGGTAGGTAGTGGCAGCTTCCAGAGGAAGATGAAGCTGGGCTGGGGAGGAGCGAGAGAGTGAGCCAGGCAAATGTTGGGGGAAAGGAAGAAAAACCTTTTTTTTTTTCCAGTACTTTTTTGTGATGAGTTTTTTTCAAGGTAGGGTTTCACGCACTATTTTCCCAGGCTGGCTTCGAACTGTGGATCCTCCTGATTTCTGCCCCCTGAGCAGCTAGGATTACAGGTGTGAACCACCAGTGCCTGGCAAGGAAAAAACATTCTTGGCAGAGGGCTAAGTTCCTGTGTAAAGGGAGGCCAGTGTGGCAGTGTGGGGTGAATGGGGGTCTGGTTCACCCAAGTCCTGTAGGTTGTCAGAAAGCTGTTCCTGTTGATTCAAGAGAAGCCTTTTAAGGACAGTAAAGAGGATAATGACATAGTCTGAGGTTTTAATAAACGGTCCCACTGGCTGCTGTGGGAGAAGGGAGAGCATTTGCAGCTGTCCAGGAAAGAAACATTGGTGGCTTATAGCTGGGGGAGTAAAAACTGGACTTGGGACTTTTTTTTTTTGAGACCAAGCCAAGGGTGACAAAGTTTACTAGTGTTGGGCTGAAGGATGGGGTCCTCAAAGCTGTCCTGTTAGTTGTATGTGGCTTGTGATCATTTCACACACATCTGTATTTGTAAGCCTTCTTTGCTTTGACTTGGGTTGTTGCCCTGGAGGAAGGAGAGGTGTTTATGTCTTCTAGTGCTGTGCAGAAGAGAATTGGAGGTAGACAGGACCCTAAAAGTCCCATGCCAGGGACTTATCGCTCCTTTAGTGCCAGGGCCACTGGGCAGAGAAGAGGCCTTTGGCATAGATGGGGCTGCAAGAACATTTAGACATGAACTTTGCCAACCTGGCTCTCACAAGGCCTGGCCTGTACTGCAGCCTGCTGGGCACTTATATGGGGGCGGGGTGGGTGTGGGTAATGGGGTTGAACTCAGGGCTTTGAGATTAGTAAACACTCTACCACTTAAGACACAACCCCAAGTCCTTTTTGTGTTTTTTGTTTGTTTTGTTTCAGTTTGGTTTTGGACTTTTTTTTTTTGTGGTACTGGAGTTTGAACTCCAGGGTCTCACGTTGGCTAGGCAGGCGCTCTGCCACTTGAGCTACTCCCGGCAGCTCAGGACCTCGATTCCCCTACCAACACCTCCCAAGTAGCCAGAATTACAGGTCCATCACCACATCAGGCTTGGATACTACATTTTCATCATTAAAACTAGCCGAAGGCTTGGCATGGTGGTTCACGTCTGTAATCCCAGCTACCAGAGAGGCAGAGGTAGGAACAGGGTTGGAGCCTGCCCCTAGAAACAGAGATAGAACTTAATAGAAAAATAACTAAAGCAAAAAGGCCTGGGGCATAGTTTGAGTGGCTTAGCACTTGCTTAGAAAATGGGAGGTCCTGAGCTTAAAAACCCCTGTACTGCTGAAAATCAAAACAAAAACAATTAGCCCTGAATTCTCAGGACTCTTGTAGATTCTTTGTCCTTCTGTTATAAAGGAAACTGAGGGCCCCAAGGTCATGTAACAAGACCTTGAAGACTTGGGGCTAACTGGGGTGGAAGGCCCTGAGTTCTGTTGCAGAGTCAGTTCTTGGCTTGGCATGGAGTGGGGAAGGGTGTCTTTTTCTAAACTGTCCCCTCCTCTCCTGCTGTTCACCACTGGGTTAATCCTGGCGCTGCAGTCTAGCCGGCCCCTGGGTGGGGTGGGGAGATGGGGAATGTCTTCCACAAAGCCTTGTATTTGTATTTGAAAAAGGAACTCAAGAAAAAGGAACTGCCCTGCCCTAGGACCCTCCCCTTGGGAGATGGCCTATCCTTTGATGCCCTATCCACCCCTAATTTGTTGTCCTTCCTCCGACCTTGTGGGTGGGGTGGAGATGGATGGAGATATCTCTGGGGGTGTTGTTGGGGACTGGGGGGACACTGAGGACCTTCCTGTCCTTCTGGCGCTGCCCTGCTGAGGAAGGGGGTGGGGGAGAGTAGAAGGTGCTAGTTGAAGTCTGTGAAGCCTCCCAGTAGGGAGGGGCCTTAAGGGGCTTGGCCTCCTCATGGCTGTATGGGGTCCCCCAGTCCTGAAACCCACAGTGGCTCCCCAACTGCTATGGTTTAATGAGTAGGACAGCAGCCACCTTTATGCACCTTCCTGGTCCTGGAAGGCAGGAGCTGTCAGTGCCCATTTGGACATGAGGTTCCTGCCCCAGAGTGTCCAGAGTCTCTCCCTTCCGGGGAGCAGTTCACTTTGAAGTGGGGTGAGGGGCTGGCTCATTCCTTTGAGTCTGGACTGAACTCAAGCCCCCCTCTTCCCCCTATCCTTCCTCAGTCTCTGCAAGAGGTATGTGGGAGGAGGGGCTGCCTCCCAGGGGCTAGCAGCTTTCTACACCAGGATCTGTACTGGCTGGGAGGAAACAGGTGTCAGCAGCAGACTGAAAAGAAAACAATTTGCATGGGGCAGAAAATTCCCCTGCCTCTTGGGTTTTCCAACCCTGAGCTTTGCATCTAAAAATAGAATGAAACCATGGGTAAGGCCCCTGCTGGGGACTGGCTGCCCATGGCCCGGGCCCACCCCAGACCAGGAGCTCCTGCAAATGTCTTTGAGCTCTGACCAGAGGCATCTCCTTCCCCCCCTAGAAGGACTGAGGAGTCCTCTGTGCCTTGAACTGTCGCCAAGGACAAGCTCTTCCTCCCACAGCAAGCTGGAGAGTGGCCTGTGAGGTTTCCCTCATCCCCTAAGTGAGAAGGTTGAGCCCTGGCCGGCATAAATTTCTGAGTTATCGTGGGGGCAGAGAAGAAATCGTCAATGAAAGCTTCCAAATTATTTGGCTCATAAGAGGGCAGGGAGGAAAGGAGGACTTGGCTGCTGAGAATGTTTGCACTAAATTGTACTAAATATGCCCGCTGGGCTACTCTGCTCTTTCTGTGAATGGACTAGAAGCAAGGAGGAGCTTTATGGTCAGCCAGGCCTGGGGGCCAAGGGCTTCCTGGCCAAGGGGGTTCCTTTGGGCACTCAGTCTGACAGAGTGGTACAAAACCCGCCTCTGGTGGCTGCAGAGCCATGCAGGCCATGGTTCACTTGTTCTCCTCAGCTCCAAACCTGGACACTGAATGAGGAGCCCCAAGGCTGAAGAAAGTACTGACCATGAGTCAGGACCCTGGACAGAGCTGAGGCCTTGAGGCCCAGTTTCCCAACTGGCCCTTACCCAGTGGGTGGCCCCCCCTCAGCCAAAGGAAAAGGCGAGTGTGGCCTCAGTACTGGGGGCTGAAGGGACGGCCTGGGAGGCTAGCTTAAGGATTTTTAGTGGAAGTCCTATAAATCTGAAGTATTCCCCAGATTCCCCTTAGGTAGTGAAAGGAAAGTTAGAGCTAAGTCCGATGTCTCGCCTACTGCAGTCCTCTTGTTTTGCCTGCCTGTGGCATCTCAACAAAGCTGAGCTCCGTCCCTTAGCCCTTATCCTGAAGGAGGGGAAGGATCGGCCTGGTCTGGGGCGTTATTTATTGTGTAAATTCTGTGAGCGCCTGAGCTATCTGGCCTGGTCAGACTTACCCATCTCACTAGCATTGTTAGTGCTTAATCCTTTGTAGTTCACATTTCTAAGAATCTAAGAATTCAGACTGGAGACGATTCACTTGCCAATACCAGCCATCACTACCACCCACCCTAGGCATTCTGATTTAAATGGCCTGCCTCAGCTGGAGGTACCTGTGTGTTCATAAATAAAAGCCTTCCTGCTGGGGGCCAGGGTGAGCGCTCCCGCCCTAGACTTCCTCTCCATTTGCCTAAGATAGAAACTCCTGGCTTATTGCTCCCTGGAAGCTGCAACTTGCTTGAGGGGGGAGGGGCTCTCCTGCCGGGTTCTTTGACTTGTGCTGAGGCCTGAGTGAGGATGGGTGGGCAGTCCCTAGCCATCTACCTGCAGGTGCTAGGGAACTGGCAGGTTTCTGTCGAAGGTGAGGTGGGGGTGGGGTGCAGGACAGTTCTGGAAGAGATCTGGAGGCCAGCCCTGCGGTTTGTGCTGGAAGCTATGTCTTCCTCAGGCCTTGGGGCTGAGAGGCAGGTGAAAGATTAGGCCAAGCAGTTGGGGTTTCCCCCAGCAGGCGAATGGAGGCAAAAAGCTGTGTTTTCAGGAAGTCAGCGTCCCCAGAAGTCCGCCTGGACCTGTGGTGCTGAGTAAGATGAGCGGGAGGCCTAGCCTGCTGCCCTGGCCAGTGCTGGGGCTTTTGGAGTCAGAAAGCGCAGGCCCTGTCCCTGGGGAGCTAGTCCTCTGACTGTCAGCAGGATGCAGGTGCAGCGCAGGAAAGTGTCCGTTATGGGAGGTGCAGCCAGCTTTGCCAAAAGGCCCAGGCTTGGCCTCCGAGGAGCTCTGGGACAAATGACAAAACTGTCATTTGTCTGGACCATGTTCTAAGAATGTGACTGTCCATTCCTGAGCCCTGTGGAACTTGGGGATTGGGGCAGGGATCAAGTGAAGTTGGCCATCCTGAAATGGAAGCCTAGATGATCCCGGATTAGGGAGAGTGGGAGTTGGGGTGCAACTATCAACAAAGTGATAGGCCATGGTGACTATCAATTCACCATGAGTATGTTCCACATATCCCTTCCCTGATACCCACCTCTTTGTCCTTCCCTGATACCCACCTCTTTGTCCTGAGGAACAGGGTCTGAGGTGAAAGCAACCTCGCTACCAGCAAGGGAATATCCTCAGACCCACTGTCCCCCAATATTCCTATGTGAGGATACCCTTCCCCATTTTCACCCCCACCCCCAGTGGTAGTGAGTGAAGATAAACAGCTTGATCCATGCTTTTAAAAGTGCAATCCTTCAGCTGCACATGGTGGCTCATGCCTATAATCCCGGCTACTCAGGAGGTAGAGATTATGAGGATAGCCATTCCAGGCCAGCCTGGGCCAAAAGTGAGGCCTCATCTCAACCAATGCAAAAAAAAAAAAAAAAGTTTCTGCAATCCCAACTATGCAAGAGGTGTACCTCAGGCAAAAACTCAAGAAAAATAAAAGCTAAAAGGGCTAGAGGTGTGGCTCAAGTGGTAGAGCACCTGCCTGGCAAGTGCAAAGTCGTGAGTTCAAACTCTAGTACTGCCACCAAAAGGGCTGGGAGGGAGGGGCAGGACTCCTTCTATCCTGAAAGAAAGGTGAAGATGGGGGTGACTAGATTATTGGGGTTCAAAACCACAGAATAAATAAGCACTCTGGAGGAGCAGAAGTGTTACTCAGATGTTTGACATAACATTTCGTGTTAAAAACGTGATGACGTACGTTGTGACATGTAAACTGCCACAATAAGAGAGAGCAAGAGAACCCCAAACAGATTCTGAACTTGCCCCCTCCCCCTCCTTGGTTTTGAGTAGGATTCCCAGGGGGTGGGAGAGCGCCTTTCCGCTGGGCCAAGTGCCTGCTTTTTCTGAGACTCATTCTGGGCCGGGTGGTGGGGGATGAGGGGGGTTGTGTGTAAGAATTCACTTCTAGTAGAGTCGGAAATGTTGCTTCTCCCGCCAGCTGGAAAGGCCTCCTGGCCTCTGGGACTTGTCTTGCAAAAGAAATGTGCATAATAAATTCTCTTTAAGAGCAGGAAGTGCTGTCATTCTCTTGAAAATAGGAGAGAGAGATGTTGAGTAGGTTTTTAATTTTTTTTTTAAATAAAACTAACTTAGCCTAGCAGAACTTGAAACATGGCTGAGCCAGAGGTATTCTCAGAGTCCTGGTGCTTCATACCTACTTTTCACTGTTTAAGTTTCCTCTTGGCAGAGGTATTCTTTATTAGAGTCCAGCCCAGTAAAGATTATTTAAAAGATATCTGGCTTGTATGATTAAAGGACAGTGCAGAACTCGAAGTCCTCAGCCTGCACATGTGTAAAATGGGAACTACAAGAATTAGGTGAGACTATGTAGTTAGCCACTTAGCACAGTTGGCTTTGCGACAGTGATCCATTTTCTGAGTTCCCACCTGGAAAAGTCCTTTGGGCCAGCCTCCTGATTCTACCTTCCCTGTCTGTCTCTACTTGACAGGAAGTTTCAGGGTTTAGCTATATACTTCAGGCAAATCCTGGGGTGCCTTCATTATCTACTTACTCATTCCACAGGCTCTTAGCACTTGCTGTATGCCGAGCGTAGTGCCACACATGGGCAGGGTAAAGGCAGTGGACATACAGGACATTGTGGTGTCTTCCTGCAGTGTGATTAGAGGAGACGGACATTAAACAATAAGTATATAAATAATTATATTTTGTAATTGTGATAAGTGCTGAGCCTCTCCAGTAACCAAACTTCCTCCTGGCGCCTTTGAGTCCAAAAGACTCTGTGACACAATAATTTAGCTCTTGAGGAAAGGAAGCAGAGAACCAGGGCTCTGGGATGAAATATTCAGATAGCAGCCACGTATCACAACATCTTGTTCTAAAACTTCATTGGATGTTTCCTTATTCCGTGTCAGCACACGTTAAAAATTGCCTAATGTTGTTTGGGCGCCCGTGGCTCATGCCTGCAATCCTAGCTATTGGGAGACTTAAGATCTGAAGGTTCACAGTTCAGCCAGTCCAGGACTCCCATGTCCAAAATTACCAGAGGAAAATGGGCTAGAGGTGTGGCTTGAATGTTAGAGCATCTGCTTTAGAAGTGTGAAGCCCTGAGTTTAAACCCTGGTCCTAGCAAAAAAAAAAAAAAGGTAGCCTAATGTCATTATTTGCTTTTGGAAACCAGATTCCACTGCTGTTTTATTACAGAGCTTGTTTTCAGCCTTCCTGGGGAAACAGGTGCAGAGAACTAGTGAATGCTTTTGGTCTTTGATCGCAGGTAAAGGAACTGCCAGCAGGGTTGTGTCATGTGTTCCTGGGTGATGTCCCCACTCTTGGCAGAGCAGGGTCTTCGGTCCCAGCTGAGGTAGTATACTGGCTGGGATAGCGTCGGTACTCAAGTTTGTTATTAAATTCGAGTTTGGGGCCTTTAAACATGAAGAAGCTACAATTGTGTCTCCCAGCAGCTCAGCAGAACTTGGTTGCTAGGCAGCAGACCTTTAAAGACAATTTGTCGATTTCTGCCAAAAGAGAGAAAAATAGTAAACATTAACGTTCTAAGAAAATAACTTGTTTTCCAGCTCCCAACTTTCTAGCGACAGCAAGAATCCCATTCATCAGTGTCCATTTTATTCTTTATTTAGTTTTCATACATCATTCAAAGGAATTTTAAGAGAATATGCCTTTTGCAAGCCTAACTCCTGGTAATTCAAAACAAACAGATGTGTAGGTTATAAGCTGGCTACCATATTTGTGGTCAGGTTTTATGTACAGGGGCTACTTTGGAAGTTAATGGAATACCCAGCTCTAGCCTCAAGCAGTAACCCATGAAAGGATCTTGGGTTATTCAACAATCGTTAGCACCTAGCATGTGCCAGGTCCTGTGTGCACTGCCCAACTCTACCTCTGTGGCCCAGCTAGACCTCATTGAGCTCACCTGGTGGGGGAAGACATGGCAGGAAAGCAGGAGATTCCCATACAGGAGCTGTGGCAGTTCAGACAAAGCCCAAAACTCAGTCTGGTATTGGATATGTCTTTCCAGAGAGTCTGAGGGCTGGACTGAGACCTTGATGACTGATGACGTATGCCCCACTTTGATGATGGACAAGAAAGAGTGTCCCTTGCAGGAGCTCTGGTGTGAAGGGTCAAATGCTTGGGAGACTGCAGGTGTATCCTTATGACCATAGGTGCAGCCAGGAAAGTCCTCCAGGTCACCCTGAGGACAGTGGGAGGACAGCGGAGAGCCATTGCGACCAACAGATTTGCATATTCCTCTTGGGGAATCCACCTGATTTGGCTTCAGTAACCAATAGGTATTAGGTAGGGAGGTCTGTGTATCAGCAGGCTTTGGGGTTGTGTTGGCCTTGGCTTCTTTGCCACTTCCAACATGTTGATCTTAACTCCTCCAAATTCCACATTTCTCAGTTGTAAAATAGGAATGGTGACAGTACCTCTCTGAGTTGGGGTAGAAACTAATAATAGTTTAATTTTAAGAATAGCTTTTAGGCTGGCTGCCGTGGCCTACTCCTGTAATCCCAGCTATGAGTATAAAGATCATCAGGCCAAAAAAGTGAGACCCAATTTAAAAAATAACTAAAACAAAAAGGGTGGAGCAAGATGGTGGGCTGTCCCAGGAGGGCAGGTTCTCATGGCATCAGAGCAACAGGCCTGGGATGTGGCGCCACTCAATCACCTTGGGGTCAGCTGAGATACTGGGTTTGTCAGGTCATATGCCAGGCCTCCTGGGGAACTAAGGGAGCCCAGCCCTGCTGGCCTGGGCAGAGTCTTCAGAGGCCTCAGTGGGGAAAGGTCCCCTCCAGCAAAGTCAGGCTGCAAAAGGGCACCACCAAAGCACCCAGTGTCTTGAGCTTGTGCCCTTGTAATAGCTGTCTTGCTGCTTGCTAATAAGATATGCAAATTATCAGGGCTGTGAAATCTTAGCCACATTTCGTCTTCTGTTTAATTAGCATTTAATTGTAATCTGATTTTAATTTTTTCACACTGGCGTCCTAGTTAAATGTTAGGGTGTTAGTCTTAACAATTAAATTATATTGGCAAATAGAGTCTTCAGGAAACTTGACCTTTTTTAAGCCAGGGCATTGTCGAGCTAGATGGAGACATAAATTAGATTCTGCAAGATGCTGCTTCTATACCTGTTAGTGCACCCATTCACTCATTTTTCTTGTGGTTCTGGATCAAGATTCCAGTGGGGCACATACACCAATGAGTGGGACCCCAGCAGGCAGACTGTAGGCCTCTACTGGTGTTTCAGGAGCCTCCACCAGCAGTTCTCTGCAGTCATATAGTGATCACAAAGTAAGCTGACTGACTTCAGTGGGGGCTGGGTTTGGAGGTGAGGCCTAGGTCTTGGAGTCCTTGAAGTGGTTTCTCTTCTCATTGATGGGAGTTCCTTAACTTGTGATTCTCAAGCGGTGATCACTGGGAAAGTTGGCACCTGTGCAAGTCACATTGTGCCCCATCATATTCCACGGTACCACGTTGTGGGGGGACCAAGTGGGATTAGGTGATAGAGGCTGGAGGCGTTGCAATTGCCAGCTGGGAGTGGGTTTGGAGGTTGTTCCGGTGTGGAGTTGGGGGCAGCAGATGGGACAGTGGGAAGAATAGTTACCCCCTGAATGAGCAGGCTCAGAAGGAAACACAGAAGCATTGTGGGAGTGGCCTCATGTCCTGACTCTCAGGGAAGTTGGATGAGATTGATGAAGACGGAAGGTGATTATCCTCTTCTAATGTATCACACACCGAAGGTGGCAATACAGAGCCCTGGTGAAGTAAGGGGCAGGGTCCTTGTCCTTGGGACTCTGAAGTCCTGACTTATGTGAACCTCCAGGCTCTATGCTCACTATTTGCATAAGGTCCTGGCTTTTCATTTTCTTGGAGTTGGTGCCTTGTGCTATTTTATACACCCACTTGTGCCTGTGAGTGCAAATCTATAACAGAATTTTGAACCTCCATCAGCAATTCCCTGCAGTCATATAATGACAATAATTGCGTTCATAACCCTCCCCTTTTATTACGGTTTTGATTTTGCCCTTCTCTGCACGTCTTTCCCTCTCTCTCTCTCTCTCTCTCTCTCAGACTCTGTCCTTTTAATAGGTCAGAACCATGTGAATTCAATTCGTCATGTTTATGGAACATTTACTGTGTGCAAGGCTTGTGCTGGTTCATGGAAGATATGTTATTTATTCTTGCTGCTTTTGTTGTGTCTGATTGATAAGGGGGCAGGCAGAAAGCCCGCTTCACATGCATCTGTTTGCTTCTTCCCCCGGCTTGTGGAATAGACCACCCTGAGCTAATCTGAAGCCACTCCTTCCCCTCTCGCCCCTGCCAGGTTTTCCGGACAGATTTGATCACAGCCATGAAGATCCCAGATTCCTACCAGCTCAGCCCTGATGACTACTACATCCTGGCAGACCCATGGCGACAGGAATGGGAGAAAGGTGTGCAGGTGCCTGCTGGGGCAGAGGCCATTCCAGAGCCTGTGGTGAGGTGAGCTGGGTGGCTAGGCTAGAGGCTATTGGAACAGGGATAAAGGGGAGGTTGCTCTCTAGTAAGGGACTCCTAACCCTGGAATTCCTTTCCAGCCTTGTTTCTATTCTGTGAACCATGCTACTTGGGTCTAAATTGCCACGCACATTAAGTGTGAACCTTGGGTCAGAAATGCAATCTCTCTCAGCCCCAATTTTGTTGTCTGTGAAATAGGAATTGTAAGGATAATAACTTCCTTATGGGGTTGTGGGGATGATCTAGTTCAATGATGTATGCAAGACTCTTGGGCATGGGACCTCTGTTTTATAAAAACTGTCTGGAGTTAGATTACAGTCACTCCAGACAGATCCCACAGCAGATCAAGTCAGACTTCCTTTCAGGTACTGGGGTTTGAACTTGGCCTATGCTTGCTAAGCAGGTGCTCTACCACTTGAGCCACACCCCTCTCCCCTTTTTGTTGTGGTTATTTTTGAGATAGGGTCTCATGTTTATGCCTGGGCCAGATTAGATCTCTATCCTTCTATTTGCACTTCCTGCATAGTTGGGATGATAGGCCTGTATCACCACGCCCAGCTTTTTATTGGTTGAGATGGGGTCTCAATAACTTTTTACCCAGGCTGACCTGGAACTGTGATCCTCTTGCTTTCTACCTCTGGAATAACCAGGGTTATAGGTGTGAGCCACTGTGCCTGGCAGACTTTTAACTAGTCCTTAAAATTGAAACAAGCTATGCTTCTCACTTTTAAAGGACCCTTTAAAGAAGTTTGTTGAGGGGGAGCCCAGTGCCTAGACTCAGTAGATGCTCAGGAAGGAGTTGCTAGTGGACCAGCCTCTCATTGGCCTGCCCTGCCAGGGCTGGGTCAGAGTCTTTGCTGAGTTTCATACCCTGCCAGGTAAGGTTAGAGTACCCCTGCCTACTCTTGTCTAGGACCTAGCTACATGGCCGTGGTTCTTGCTTCTCACTAAAGAGTGAAGTCAAGTGCTTCTCTCAGAACCCTGGGAAACCCTTAGGGCACAGGGCCTGGGATCCCAGCCTCCCCGACTCACCAGCCTGCCTGAGCTGGGCAGCTTGGGCTGTTGGCAGACCCTTTCTGGCCTTGGCAGCCTCATGGCTGTGCTTGAGTCCATGTAGACCAGGCTTGGGACAAAGATCACAGCTGTCCCTTCCCTTGACATTGGCACCATTACTTCCTTTCCTGGCAACCACACTTGTGAATGGCTCATACACACCAAGAGCCTGCATAGTGCCAGCCCTGTGCTGGGCATGGGATCACAGACAAAGTGGACTGAGCCCTACCCACGTGCTCGGTGGGGGTTGGATGTTGCTGAGGACCCTTCCTTCTCCAGTGACTTCTTGAGAGCCGAGTGCCACAAATACTTATTTGTCTGGAGCCTTCTGAGGACTAGGGGAGCCCTGGGCTACCCTGGGAGGTCTAAGGGGCACATTGGGAATATACTCTGAGCGAATGAATGGGAGGAGATTTTTATTCTGCACATCCCTCTCTGGGGCCAGTGACATGGTTCAGGCACCTAGCCAGTCCCACACTCTCACCTGTCAGACCCAAGAGCTGTGACTTGACCTCTTAGAGCCAATTTCTCCTGTCTAAAACAGGGACAATACCCATACCTACAGAGCAGTGTGGTAGTCAGAATTAAATGAGAATACTCGTGCCCATTGGTGATGGGGACGGGCAGTCTGTCTGCTGAGCAGAGAGGCAGGTTCTGATTATGTTTGCCTGGCAAGTCTGTCCTCTCTACTTCATGAAAATATCAGGTGGTTCCAGAAATATCCATGGGCCTGGGTAATTAATTGTAGATGCTTCCACACCAGTAGCTCAGCTTCATTCAGTCTGTTGCGTGCTTTATCTGTTGACATCAGGAGGAGACACGTGTCTACACTGCCTTGGCTTCACGAGGTGCATGCATTCCCAACATATGCGTGGCTGCACTGACTGGTCTGGTAGGAGCCAGGCACTTCCAGCCAGTCTGGGGCTTGGAGAGGATAGCCTGGGGCTGTGAAGGGGGCCCCTTGGATAGCTCTCTGTGCCTCTTCCTCCCTCTCTCCCCCATCCCAGCCTCTCCATCTCTCTGCATGCTTCCCTGCTGCACAGCCCTCCTGGAAGCTGTGTGGCAACCACCATGGGCAGAATTTCTGGAGGAACTCCTGTCTGAGTACTAGCTTCACTGAGCCTCTTAGGTTCATCTTCTTATTTAATGGTCTTACTTACAGAGTACACAGCACTGTCCCCATTCGATAGATGAGGAAGTCGGGAAATTCTGGGGAATTTCTTGCAGAGCCACTGGGGCCTAGTGGGCTGCTGGGCCAGGAAATCAGAGGCCACAGGAACAAACCCTGGGTTGTCCCTGTGAGGCCCAGAGTGAGAACTTGGGTCTGACTACCCAGCCCCCTTCTGTTTCTCCCTGCCTGGCCTTTGAGCAGGTCTGCCCACTTCATGGTCTAAAATCTCTCTGGGTGAGAGATTTTCGTGTAGTCAGAAGATTCTACCCAGGGCAGCCAGACAACCTCTGGTGTCTGTCTGTGACCCCTCCATTCCCTGTAGATCTCAGCCTAGTCGTCTACCTCCTTCCAGCTAAGCTCAGTGTGGCTGAGATTATAGCTAAGAGTGAGACCTTGGCTTTGTCGTGTCAGTCCATGCCTGATAGGAGAGCTTCCTGCAGAGCCAGAAGGGGACATTGAGATGAAGATGGGAGCCCCAGGAAACACAGGAAATGCCTTTTTTGGTATGAATCCTTTAGCCTTGACTCCCCAGAGAGAAAACCAGATCTTGGCCCCCAAGGTCTAACCAATTGGCAGCTGATAGGCAAGCAGGTGTGGGTAGCATTGTGTTATTAGGAGGCCATTTGGACAAGGGGTTCCCCAAGCCCTGACTAAACATATGCTTAGGGCACAAACAAGCTGAATTGTGACAGATTTATAGGCCGTGCCTTATTTATTTATTTATTTGTGATACTGGGGTTTGAACTCAGGGCCTCACATTTGCTAGGTAGGCACTCTACCACTTACTTGAGCCACTCCCCAAGCCCAGACCATGCTTTTAAAGGAAGTGTTCATTGAAGTGACAGTTTCTTGCGGAAAGGCAGCATTTCATTGAATCAGCAGTGTGACTCCATTTGGAATCACCTGGGGGGCAATCTGCCATCATCATTACCTAAGACCCTCCTTATGTTGGGCCTCTTGTGTGGGAAAGGTGATGCTGACCCTTCCTCCTTCTGCCTCCCACCTTCTCCAGGTCTCCCTCCTAGCCTGGAGGCCTTTTCCTCTTCCTGCTTGGGCTCCTCCTTCCCCATGCCCTGCATCCTTCCTGCCTCTTTACTGACATGGGATTTTCCTGGAGCCAGGGGTCCTTCCCAGGCATGTCTCTGTGGCATCTTGGGCTCTGCCCAGCCTGCACTGAGTCACAGCCCCTGGCAGCTCTGCTTCCGACCCCAGGAGGCCTCCGGGGCAAGTGAGGGGCCTCTAGGCTTGGCAGGGCTGACCAAATGGAAGCAAGCTCCAGACAATAACCATGGCAACCAGCGGGGGGTGGAAAGAGCTGGCATTTTAAACTGGTGTCAGGACTGAGGGGCAACACACAGCTGCATGGAGGGGACACTGCCCTCCCGAGGCCAAACATTCCCTTCTCATTTCAGGAGGAGGAAGGTGATATCCAGATGTCTCATACACACACACACACACACACACACACACACACACACACACGCAGTTCTTATTATCTTTTGTGCTGGCCACTTTGCGAAAGCTTTACATGTATAATCTTTGTAAACTCACCAACCACATAAAGGTAGGTACTGTAATTATTTGCCCATTTTGGGGGGGTGATGACACCAGGTAACAGAGACATTCAGTGGCAGAGCTGGGCTTGGTCTCTGTCTGCATTCAGGGCCCTTTCAAGCTGCCTCAGAGGCAGAGCCGTACCTCAAGGGAGGACAGAGGTTCTAGGTGGTCCTGGGACATTAGTGCCCATGTTTGTATGCAAGGGAATTACTCTGCCACAGTCTTGGTTGGGAAATGGGGAGGCAAGTAACATCAGTAAGGGACTTGCTGCTCATGGAACCCAGCTGGGTCGTGGAAGGACAAGGTGTGTGGGTCCCAACAGTGGAGCCTGGTAGAGTGCCTCCTAACCCAAGGAAGAGTTGGCCTCAGTTCTGCTTAAGACCATAGCACTTTACGATGTTGGTGGAGGAGGGATCGGAGCTCGGGAGGCTCTGTGGACACTCCCTGGCCATTCCCCAGCCTAGGGTGAGGGGATCATGCAAAAAGACCTGGAGTTCAGCTGACTGTATCCCATTGGTCCCCAAGTGACTGTCACAGGGCATTGCCCAGAATGGCACATAGGACATCCTATAGGCCCAGGTAGGACAAGTCCAGATCAGGGAGCTTTAGCCAAGGCCCAGCCATCCTAATGGGAGGATAGTGGAGGTGGCTGTGGTTGGCCAGAGTGGATGTGGATGTGGTGGGCCAGGCCAGTGGATCAGCCTCCACCCCCATTGTCACTCTGCCCCACAGCCCTTTGGATCTATGTCTTGTGTACCTACCCACAGTCATTTGAGTATGTGGTATGGGCAGATGGTAGAGGAGAAAGTAGACAGAGGGGATAAAAGAGGATGAGCTTTATTGGGCATCAAAGTCCCACATCTCACTTTGCCACCACCTCAACTCAGTCTACCAACTCACTGGAGCCCCCAGGGGTTGGCAGACTAATTAATGGCCTCTCTCTTCATGAACCCGTTTTCCAGGATCCTCCCACCGCTGGAAGGCCCTCCTACACAGGTGTCTCCAAACAGCCCTGCACTTGGTGAGGGCTCCCAGCCTGACTGGCCAGGGGGCAGCCGCTATGACCTGGACGAGATTGACGCCTATTGGCTAGAACTTCTCAACTCGGAGCTCAAGGAGATGGGTAGGTGATCCACTGTGCCAAGGACAGGGAGGGTGCATTTTCTTCCCAGTCCCAGTGCTCTCCCCTCCAGAAGGACAGTGCCCCAGACTGGGGGAAAGTCCTACTGCGTTAATGATAGATGTGGTTTCAGTGTCTCTGTGCATCCCAGTATTTGTGCAGCTCTCGGGGCGGGGCGGGGGGCGGGGGGGTGGTAATAGTGCACAATCACAGCATTCTTGGGAATGCTACAGTGGACATGGATGCCACATCAAGAATAAGTGAGCACACAGTGGGGCTCTTGGCTGGAGCCCACTAACATGTCCCAATAATGGCCATCTCTGCAGTATGGAGCCAATTCCAGAGTGTGTTTCCCACACCCCTCACTACACACTGCAAAGCTCCCCTTGGAGCTGGTTACACTTAGGGCTACTCCATACTCTGTGCACCCACATGTATGTGTCAATGTGGTCACAGGCAGGCTGTCTACAGTGAGAACACTATGACAGGGGTCTTTGAGGATGGGTGGTCTGCCGGAAGACTGCCCCCCACATATTCAGTTTTCGCAGGTGGAGCTGAAACCTGAGGTGGTGGGCATGAGGCCAGAGTTCCTAGGTGCTTTTCCCCAAGTCTTGAAGTGGATGAGTGCAACCCCACACCCCATACATCTGCTCCTGCAGTCCCAGGAGCCAAGGCTTCTTCGGAGCTCAGGGGATCCTGGGTTCCTAACTGCCTTCTGCGGTCATCCCCACAGAGAGGCCCGAGCTGGATGAACTGACATTAGAGCGAGTGCTGGAGGAGCTGGAGACTTTGTGCCACCAGAACATGACACGGGCCATCGAAACACAGGAGGGACTGGGCATTGAGTACGATGAGGACGTTGTCTGTGATGTGTGCCGCTCCCCTGAGGGTGAGGATGGGAACGAGATGGTCTTCTGTGACAAGTGCAACGTCTGTGTGCACCAGGTGGGCCACCCCCCCGTCACTCTCACTCACACTGTATGTGTGTGTCATCGTGGCTATAGGAGGGCAAGGGGCAAAAAAAGCAACGGAGTGAGTTCCTTGCTGTGTCAGGGACACTCAGGGTCCCTTGGCTTAGTCCTACCAGCTAGTCTGGAAAGAAATGCCCATGGGAGAGTGTGTGTTCTCCCGGTTTCCTTCAGGCCCTTTCCTCTCCCTCTCCTCCTTGACTCCTTATGTCCTGAGGAGACAAAGATGCAGTAATACCACATAGTGATGGAGAGCCAAGCCTGAAGCCAGGCTGCCTGGTTTCAAAGCATAGTTCTGTCCTTCACAAGCTGTGGGAGTTTGGACCATTTTCTTGACTTCTCTGGGCCTCTGTTTTCTCAACTATAAATAAGAATGAGTTGTTGGAACGGTGGAGAATAGCTCTGGTTGAGCGCTTGCCTAGCATGCATGAGGCCCTGGGTTTGATCCCCAGCATTGCAAAAATAGAGAAAAAAAAGAGTTGTTGAGGATTAAGTTGTTTATTATGAGTTGTTAGTATAGTTTATAAGGACTATAAATACTTATTATTAGCTGGGCGTCCGTGGCACACACCTGTAATTCTAGCAATAGAAGGCAGAGATCAGGAGGATTGCAGTTTGAAGCCAGCCCAGGCAAATAGCTCTCAAGACTCTCTCTCGAAGATACCCAACACAAGGGCTGGCAGAATGACTCAAGTGCCTGCCTAGCAAGCGTGAGGCCCTGAGTTCAAATTCCAGTACTGTCCAAAAAAAAAAGATACTTGGTATTGTTACTGCTGTTAGAAACCAAATACAGCCTGGCTAGAACCCCTCTCTGAATCTTGGGCCCTGAAGTCTTAGGTCTTAGGTATTTCTGGGCCTTGATTTTTGATCCAGGGAACCCATTCTGGCCCCGACTTTGGGGCGCCCAGTGCTGCTGGACTAGCCCTTGGGGAGCTCAGAGTGCCTGGCAGGAGCAGGCAGTGTATCCCTTGTTCATCCACATCCCTGCGCCGGTAGTTTTGGGTCCATGTGCCTCTCCTAAGCCATAGGCATGACAGAGAAACCCTGTTTACAGATTCCCGTATAAAAAAGATGAAAGCTCTGGGCCTTGATCCTAGGACGCATTTAACCTAAGAGGTGAGGTTCACGGACCCACCTGAAGTCTATGCTGGTTAGGAATCTCCTCCCAGTAGAGGGCAGCCCTGAGCCCTTTTACGGAGGACCGGGAAATGGTGAAATTTCAGTCATGCTACACAGGCAGAGAGCCTGTGAACCCCCAGGAGAGCTAGTTGCCCAGGCTAGAGGCCCGGGCTGGCACCATTTGCTAACTGGTCAGCTAAGTGCTGACCAAATGAAGATTGGCCATGCCCCTGAGCCATGATCTCCTGCTCTTCTCCAGGCATGTTATGGGATCCTCAAGGTACCTACGGGCAGCTGGCTGTGCCGGACATGTGCCCTGGGAGTCCAGCCAAAGTGCCTGCTCTGCCCCAAGCGAGGAGGAGCCTTGAAGCCCACCAGAAGTGGGACCAAGTGGGTGCACGTCAGCTGCGCCCTGTGGATTCCTGAGGTGGGTAGGCATGGGGGCAGTGGCAGGTCCAAGGAACAGCACATGGGGAAATGTGTCGGCGTGGAGCATGGAGCTCAGAGCTTGGGCTTAGGCAGAGCATCAGGAAAGAAGGGGATGGACACATCTCAAGCAATGGGCCTGGGAAGAACTGGGGGAACTGCCACGGGGAACTTTGGGGACTGATGCAAGAGTTCAGGTGAAGTTCCTATGGGTAAGTGAAGTAATGGGCTGTGGGAGAGTCAGGAGGTAGGTCTGAGGTCTGGATAGTAGTCAGGCAGCTAACTCTAGGGATGTAGGATGTAGGTCCACCTAAATCTAGGTAAAGTCAAGCTGCCTGTTTAAAACATAATCCAAGTCACCTGAAAGGAAATCAGGACGTCAACATAATTTGAGCTGGTAGTGGATCCGCTTCTATGGCTGTGCTTGGGTTGGAGAGGATAGGCTGAGGCCAGCTGGGAAAGCCGTGGGCCACAGTCTTGAGTAAAGAGGGTGAGCAGAAGCTCCTCCTGAAAGGACATCCATTTTCTTTAAAATGCGAAATGCTGAAATTCAGTAGAGTTCCATCCCTAGCCCTGCCATGTGCCCTGCAGATATTTGGCCTCACTCCAGTGCTGCCTGTGCCCAGAAGCAAGCTAGGTGGACCTTACAGCATGTGGTTCTTCCTTACTGGGCTCCCAGACCAAGACCCCCGGCTGGGACCCAACTTGCAGTTTCTGTGACGGTCATCGTTAGTGTCTGAAGCAATCTTGAAGATTGGGACTGCCTCTCGGTGTCCCCTGGGCTGGGCACAGCAGAGACAGAATGATGCAACAAGGACTCCACCATGGGAGCCCTTTGGAGAGGGGCTTTTCTTCTATTCTCAGGCATGGTCCTGCCTCCTGGGGTTGGTGTCCAGTAGACTTGGCACAGTGGCCAGTCTGTCCCTATAGGGGGAGCTAAGTAATGGTACATCTCCATTGGCCAGGAGAACCCTGAAGACACTTAAGAGGAGATGCCATTAGGCCTGTTCTTAGTACCCAGAGAAAATGATAAATTACAACATGAATTTTAAAGGTGCTGTTAATTAAGGCCTGAAGAAAGGAAGCCTTGCATATCATGTACCATCCTCATGCAACAACTCTCTCTCTCTCTCTCTCTCTCTCTCTCTCTCTCTCTCTCTGTGTGTGTGTCTTGAGGCCTACATAGCCACAGGCACACACTCCTCCAGTCACCTAATGTCATACTTTCACACTCCAGGCCTTGTTCCAAGCGCGCCCACCTTTCCTTCTATGGTGGTTAGCTTGAGCCAGTAGGAGGGACCCAGACCTTGAGCTGTGTCTGTTTGGAGTCAGGAAGAACTTGGGATTCAGGGCCTCAGCCACTGCTCTGTCTGTCCACTGCCTGGTTTCAGCAGACAGCCCTTCACTTGGGGGAATCCCTGGAGGCAAACTGGGGACTGATGGTGCTCCCTGTGTCCTGCCCAGGTCAGCATCGGCTGTCCAGAGAAGATGGAGCCCATCACCAAGATCTCACATATTCCGGCTAGCCGCTGGGCCCTGTCCTGCAGCCTCTGCAAGGAGTGCACAGGTACCTGCATCCAGGTACGTAGCCTGCTTCCACCTCCTGTCCGGGAGCACATGCTGGGTTAGGGAGGCAGGCCTGGAAATGGGTGACCGCCACCACCTCCTCCCCGTGCCACTGGAGACTCCAGGGAGGAGGGAGGCTGGGGCAAGACTCAAGACTTCACCCAAGAGGGCAGTATATTCCCGTATCCTCGGGTCTCCAGGTAGTGGGCACAGGCCAGAGGGCCAAGGCTCACCACCCTTTTTAAGTGCTTAGAACTTCGGCTTTCCCCAAGAGCAAGTGTTCTTGGGCTTGATCAATGCACTGTAGTCATTAAACCTGACTTGGAGGAATGGACATCAAATTTCCTCTCCAGCTCAGCTAATGGACAATTCTGACGCAGGCCAAGGCTGCACCAGTCTGTCTGGCAGTGGCTCCCACATTCCAGTGTGCACCAGAGCCACTCTGAGGCTTGTTAGACACACAAGACCCAGAGTCTGATGCAGTAGGTCACAGTGGAGCTGAGAATTTGCATTTTTAACAAAGTCTGGGAGGATTCTGATTGCCTCTGGTCTATAGTTTGGGGGCGGGGGGACATCCTTTGTCCTTCTTGTCTCTCCAGGAAGTTGTCACGGCAAGCACCAGGTGTGCAACCTTTAGAAGGGCCTGTGCGTGCACCGTCAGTGGCTCCTGATGTTGGGGACATTACTGCTGAAACAGTTCAGCTTGCCCAAAGGCTTCATCCAAGGCTGGGAGGGAGGGTCAGGCCTCAAGCTGCCTGGGCAAAAGAAAAAAGGGATTCAGCTGCAGCCCCTCCTCCCAGAGGACAAAAGGGACAAAAGTTCCCACCTTTGATAATGTTGCAGGAGTAGAGAAGGTAGCCTTTTTTTTTTCCCTTTGGTAGTACAGGAGTTTGAACCCACAACCTCATGCTTACTAACAGGAACTCTGCCACTTGAGCCACCCTCCCAGACCTCATGTAGACCAGGCTCTCCTCCAACTCACTCTATAGTCCAGATTGACCTGGAATCTTGATCCTTCTGCCTCAGTATCCCAAGGCCTGGAATTATAGGTGTGTTCCATCCCATCCCACTCAGTCTTTCTTTTTGCTGCATTTTTAATACCAAACTCTTTCACTGTATAAAAATGTACTTTGAAATAGACATGATGGTGTAAACCTGTAATCCCAGCACTTGGGATCCTCCTGAGGCAGAGTCGAGGCAAGCCTGGACTAAATAACAAGAGCCTGTTTCAAAACAAAGTAGCTTGTTCCTAGAGGGGCTACACAGTCTCCTGATTGATTCCCCCCTGGTGCTTGATGCTGGTCCCATTACCTTTCCAGGTACCCCAGAGTTCTTCCATCCCTACCTCCCGTAACTCCCTCCACACTGTACAAGATGTCAGGGCCCGTGCCATTTTACGTTAGGTCTCCCCAGCCTTATACATTCTCAGTAGAGTCCTGTAGGAAACCCGTCTTGTTCCCCACCAGATCTCCCTTCACACCTGACACTTCCTTCCTCTCCCTCCAGTGCTCGATGCCTTCCTGCGTCACAGCTTTTCATGTCACGTGCGCCTTTGACCATGGCTTGGAAATGCGGACTATATTAGCAGACAATGATGAGGTCAAGTTCAAGTCATTCTGCCAAGAACATAGTGACGGGGGCCCACGGGGAGAGTCTACATCTGAGCCCGTGGAGCCCAGCCAGGCTGGTGAGGACCTGGAAAAGGTGACTTTACGCAAGCAGCGGCTGCAACAGTTAGAGGAAGACTTCTACGAGCTGGTGGAGCCAGCCGAGGTGGCCGAGCGGCTGGACCTGGCCGAGGCGCTGGTTGATTTCATCTACCAGTACTGGAAGCTAAAGAGGAAAGCCAATGCCAACCAGCCGCTATTGACGCCCAAGACAGACGAGGTGGACAACCTGGCCCAGCAGGAGCAAGATGTCCTGTATCGCCGCCTGAAGCTCTTCACGCACCTGCGACAGGACCTGGAGAGGGTGAGTGGCCCTGGTGGGCCGTCCCCAGTGGTCTTGCCCTGGGGCAGCCAGGACTACCCATCTACTTTGAAAAGCAGCAAAGGGGCTCAGGCTTCCAGGTCAGTGACAGTATGGAGATGATTGAGGCTTCACAGAACTGAAAATGATTCAATTCTGAGTCCCTCTGGTTCCAGCCCTTTTGCAGGCCTGGTTCCATGATGAGAGGCTGGGAAGCCCCAGTGACAAGAACCCCAGGCTCCTGACACCTAATCACCTCTGGCCCCACTTCTGGTCTCTTTGGGTCCTGTCTGGGCCTAGCACATCAGCTTCTGTTCAGAGACTGAGAGATTAATAGCAAGAAGTGTAGAATCGCCAGGGCAGGATTGGGTAGGCAGGCGTGAATGTGGTTCCTGTAAGGTGTCTTGACAGGATGGGTGTGAAGCGACCCGTGTGGGGTAGAAGGATGAGACGGAAGAGGCTGGTAGATCATGCAAGGCTGGGTTGGTTTCTGGGGGCTACAGGTGCAGGAACTGTCTCACTGAAGCTGGGACTTCCAGACCTCTGCCATGAAAGGGGAACATTCTCACCTGGGTGCTAGGAGATGGGATGTGGCTTGGTCTAGGGTGGTAGCTTTGGAGCTACACAAATTAAAACAAACGTGGGTCCTTCATGCAGTCCTCTGAGCCCCAGGGGCCGTTCTGGCCTTTCTTCTCTAGGGTTCCAGAACACATGGAACTGTGTTACAGTGTCCCTTATGGCACAGATAATATATTGACCTGTAGGAAACTGCCTGGGTAGAAGCCTCTAGGGAGCTTTGCGTGACCTGGGGCAGCCGCTTTTTTTTTCATCTGTACCTCAGTAGGGAAGTCTGTAAAATGGGTGGAATATCTTGGCCTGTGTCATACTTTGTAGGGAGGGGTGACTGGACTCAGCTTCCCCATTCTTCTCCACCCCAGTCATCTGCCCTGAGGCCCAGGCAAGAAGGAAATGACCCCATTGCCCTGGGAGGGACACTTTTACTGCCTGGCATCTGCTAGCGTGCCACCAGGTCAAGAGGAAGTGGAGGTGGGGAGAGATGACATGTCCCTGGTTCCAGCCCAGTTTCCTTTCACATGGGACAGTGGTGTCAGCTACAAGCTCTCTAAGACCAAAGCTGCCTCCAGACTTCCTAAAGCCACCCAAGTCCCTACCCCCAGAGTCTCCAGTGCAAAGTTTTCCTCCTATATCAGATGGGACCTCCCTAGTGTGTCCGGTCCTGGTGTCCGGCCCTGGCCAGTCTATATAGGGTGGTACAGGGGCTGACTTACTTCCACAGTCATCATCTTGGGAAAGGAGGCAGATCTCTGAGCTCTGTGGAGCAGGTGAAGAAACCAGGACTCAGGGATGAAGTGACAGGAAGTCTTAAAAAGCAGCTTATTTCTGCTGGGCGCTGGTGGCTCACGCTTGTAATCCTAGCTACTCAAAGAGACAGAGATCTGGAGGATCACAGTTCAAAGCCAGCCTGAGCAAATATCTCACAAGACCCTATCTTAAAAAAGTCCATCACAAAAAAGGGCTGGCAGAGTGACTCAAGGTGGGAGCCCTGCATTTAAACCCCAGAACCACAAAAAAAGAAGAAAAAAAGAAACTTGTTTCTTAGGGTTGGAGCTTGACTTTGGATCTAAACTGGGGAAGGGTTGAGGTCAGGTAAAGGATGTTGGCTCTTTCTGTTTCTGTAAATTTCTCAGGTGAAAGTATCCAATTATCAGTGACCCCAGTGTCGGCTGGTATTGGTGGAACCAAAGTCTGAGGCTGACAAGGGCAACTGGGAGGCTCTGGGGGCCCAAGGGAAGCAGAGATGCCACAGACTTCTCCAAAGACAGATGTCATTTGCCTGATTCTTTAGAAAGTCAGGGCCGACAGAAGTCTGTACAGCTCCTCATGGCTCTGGAGGACCCTGTCCAGATGCTGTTTCCCCAGAGGGAGGGGGCTGGGCCGGTGAGCACCAGCTGAGAGCAGGACAAGGGGAGGTGCAGCCTTACTGGGCTGAGAAGGAAGAACATCCCAGATAGCAATGAGCCAGCCAGCTCATCCCCCTCCATGTCCCAGCCTCAAGTCCAAACAGCCACACGTTGGTGACCTAAGTGAATGAATAGCACCAGGAACTCTACAAAGCCCCTTGGTGGTGGTAGCCTAGCCAACAGGCTGGTCCCTGACCATGGCCCATTGCCAACAGCTGAGAGTGTCCAGCCTATGACTGGGTACCAGGCCAGCTTGACCCTGGAGCCATCTGGGAGGTGTGGGGTAGGGTTAAGAGCCTGAGGCCTTGGGGGGCCTGGTTCTACATCCAATTCAAGCACTCCCCAGTTCTGTGCCTTCTTTGTTTCCAATGGGAATAAGGATCAAACTGACCTTGGGGTCACAGCAAGGATAGGAGACATAGCTGAGCACAGTGCCCTCCTTTGTTGGCTGTGATTATTGTCTCTGCTCTGGCCCTATAGACAGTTCAGTTCTTAAAAGAAGGAAGGCCTGGGAGTCGACATCCTCCCTGATGGATTTGCCTTTCCACAGCCAGGCGGTGGGATTGCTGAGAGAAGCAGGAACTGGGGCCACTACCAGCATGAAGTTCTATGTTATGGTCAGCCCAGAAGATGTGATTTCCCAAAATTTTGAGCCCTGGCTGGCAGCTGGGAAAGACATGGTTGCCACAGCCTCCTAGAGTTATTCACGGCTGACAAAAAAAATTGCAGCAGTGAACATCAGCCCTACAAACACCAGCTAGTGTCCCCTAGCAACCATGCTGGCAGTCAAGCTGCTGTCTGTGGCCATGGATCTTACTACCAGTTTATTTGAGAGCCTGACTTGGCCTGAGGGGGTGACCCCAGAGAGTGGAGGTGGCTCTAAGGCATACACTAGTCCAGAAAATGGACATGTGGGAATTCCCAAGGCCTCATTTCTGCCACCTTTCTCAAGGAAAGAAAAAGCAGAGAAAGTGCCCTTTCCCCACATTTGCCACCTGCCTTCTTGTCTCTTGGTTCCCTTGTCTACTCTGTCCTCAGTGCCTAGATTGCTGTCCCCTTGCTCCCCGTGCCCCCCAACACCACTAGTAAAGCCTGGCTTGTCCTGGGCAGCTCCAGCCTCTAGGCTTATCCCCTATACCTCCCACCTCCAGGACTTCTCCAACCCACAGTGCTCCTCCACTGCACCTAGTCACCACCTCTACCTGCTCCCAGGCCAGAATCCTAGAATGTCACAAATCCTCCTCTATCACAGCCTCTTGTTCTTCTCATCCCAGGCAGCCACTCTTCCTGTTCTCCCTTTTTTTTTTCCCCTTCACTTTTATCCTTCCTTTGGAATTAGCCTGGTACCCATGTTGTCCCTGTGCTGAGGCCACACACATAGCAGAGCCACATTGAACACAAGCTGTCCTCTGCTCAACATAACTATCCCTCCCGCAGTTTCCCAGGCTCCACAAATACCCCAACACCAGTCCTTTCTAACTCAGCACCTGGCTGGGAGTCCTCCCTGCTCCTCAGCCCCACGCCCAGGCCCTGTCTAAAACCTGTTGATAGCAAAACAGCATCAAAATGTAAAACCTGGCCCCAGGGATGTAGATAAGTGGTAGACTGTATGCTTTGCCAGCGAGGCCATCCCCAGCACTAAAAAAGAAATAAAAGTAAGACTTGTATTTACCAATCCTTACTCTAGTCATTGGGGACCCTTCTAGTTTTTCTCTTGATTCATTTTTGTATTGTATAAATTTTTAGTCTTTTTTTTTTTTTTTTTTGTGGGAAGGAAGAAGAAAGGAAAGGAAGGAACTTAGATAGGGAGTCCTCAAGGTAAATGAATTGCACAATATTCAGTAAAATGTACTTGTGTTACTAAGAGGATAAGGAGAAATGTGAAAAAGTAGTACCAACCAAAGAATGTTGGGATTCTCATAGAGGGAAGTTGTTTTTTGTTTTTATGTTTTTAATTTGGTATTAGGTTTTGAACTCAGGGCCTTCATCTTGAGCCACTCCACAAGCCCTTTTTGGGGATGGGTTTTTTTCAAGATAGGGTCTTACGAACTATTTGGCTGGGCTGGCTTTGAACCTCTATCCTCCTGATCTCTGCCTCCTGAGTAGCTAGGATTACAGGTGTGAACCACCAGTGCCTGGTGCCAGAAGGAAGTATTCTATCTGGAGCCAGAATCTTCAGACAGTCCTAATTTTGTAGTGTATCCTTATCAGTAAACAAGCTTGAGCAGATACCTCCAATGTCTCCCTCATAGTTGCCACTGTGTATTATGAAACAGACATAACCAGAATTTCTAATAGGGTTCCTTTCCCCAAAATGCCAGCACAAGTTGTAATGTTTTCCTCTACCTCTCAGTGCTTTGCACCTCACTTTGGAGGCCCTGGCAGAGAGGAAATTCTCAGAGTTCATAGTGCTGTCTAAAATGTGTATTTTAGAAAGAGGTACAGGTTCCCCAAGCCTGAGGAAAAAAAAATTTTTTTTGTTGGAACTGGGATTTGAATTCAGGGCTTCACACTTGCAAAGCAGGTACTCTACTGCTTGGGCCATACCACTAGTCCATTTTGCTCTGGTTATTTTGGAGATGGGTTCTTGCATACTATTTGCCTGGGCTGGCCTCAACTTCAGTCCTCAGTCTCCCAAGTAGCTAGAATTACAGGTGTGAAACACCAGTTCCCAAGTGGAAACTATCTTTTAAGTGGCCACTCCAGTGACCCTGATGCCAGGAATTTATTTGGGCATGGCTTGAGATACCGCTAGATGGACGACTAAAAGCCCTACGTCAGCATTTTACTAGGAAATAATTAAGTGTGACTCTTGGTACTTTGGGGAGAAATCGCCATTCCAAGTCTCATCTCATCTGGTTCCACATCTTTAGGATGGTAGGCTTGAGGGTGGAATAAGCTCTAGGATGACATGTTGAGGCCAGAGCAGGTGCTGTAACACTTGAGCCACTCTACCAGCTTTGCCTGATGTGTTTGAGAAATTAAGAGCTGGACCTTACCAGGCATGATGGTTCACACCTATAATCCTAGTACTCAGGAAGCTGAGGCACAAGGATTGTGAATTTGAGGCTAAAAACTGGACGTTGACTGATCTGTTTTTAGGTTAGATGTGACCGGTTTGTTTGCAGGTCTCCAGAATAGCCATGAGCAGACTTGGAGTATTGCTTAATGGCAGAGCATGTGCTTAGCACAAGTGCAAGGCCCCAGGTTTGATCCCCAGCTTAAAAATAAATAAATACAAACAAAACTATCATAATGCATCTCCTTTCTCATCCCCATTCCCCCTAGTCCACATGGCTGCTGGGAAGGAAACAGGCCAAAGGAAGATAGGTGGGGAACCTTCCAAGCCAAGAGTCAAACATTACCAAGGGCACAGGGCAGAAGTGGGCTGGGCACAGAGAGAACAGTCCTGATGGGCTGTGGGACAGTGTCATAAGAAGGGAACTCTAGTGGTTGGGAATGTGGCTCAGTGTTAAGAGCATTTGCCTCGCATGCACAAGGCTCCAGGTTCAAGCCCATCACTACCATCAAAAAAGGTGGGGGGGAGGATTTGATTAGTGTCCTCTGGCTGTCCTCACAAAGTACTACCAACTAGAGGACTTTAAAATAAGAGATTTAGGGCTGGGGTGTGGCTCAAATGTAGAGCACCTGCCTAACAAATGCCCTGAGTTCAAACTCCAGTACCACAAAAAAAGAAGGGAAAAAAAGAACAACCCAAAAAAAAAAAAGCAAGAGATTTGTCCTCACAGTTCTGGAGGCTACAAGTCCAAAATCAAAGTGTCCAGGGCATTGGTTCCTTCTAGAAGCTCCGAGGGAGAATCTCTGCCATGTCTCTCCCTTAGCTTCTGGTGGATGCCAAAAATCTTTGGCAATATTTGGCTTGTGGACCTATCACTCCAACCTCTGCCTCCACTGGCACACAATATTCTTCATGAACGTCTAGGCGTCCCTACCTCTTTCATGGACTTTCATATAAGGACACCAGTCACATTGGATTATGGGCCTAAAATTAGTCATTTTAACTAATTACATCCACAAATCAGGTCCCATTCTGAGATTCCCACAGACTTGAATTTGGGAAAACACCATTCAACCCAGTATAGAAGTTCTTGGAGGCTGTAAAGGGGGAGGGGAATGATTTGATTTGCATTTCAAGAGCAGGGCTGGGGCCTGTGAGAGATAATAGGGTGAACCAGGAGGTGGATGGAACTGTTGTGGGGAATTAGTGAACAAAAGCACTGCTTTGTCAGCCATGGTGCAGACAAAGAGAGCAGGTCATCAGAGATGAGTCCAGGTTTCAGCCAAAATCCCTGCACTCTAGCCACAAGACCAGGCCGTGACCCCTGTGTGTGATCAGTTCTTGCTTACCCTAGATGGCCCTTTGTCCAGGAAGCCTTGCTCACCACCCTAGGTCTGGTTCAAGACTGCCTGGTCCTAAGAGTACTTGATCAGCCTCTGTCCTGCTGAGTGGGAGGCCCTGGAAAGAAAGAAACTCCAGTGGTATTGTTCACCTCAAAGCCTAGGTTCCCCACACAGCAAGAATGCACAGGGCCACAGCCGGTGTTTATGCGTGTAGGGAGGGGTTTGGTTGGAAGGTGGTCCTTGCCAGGAGGCCAAAGCAAAGGCGCTCAGACTGACACCAAGTAGTCACAACCCAGTGCTGTCCCTTAAGAATGGGCTGGCTGTGGGAATGGATAGAGCTAGGGGCTCAGCAACAGGTGGAACCATGGCCTGATACTCATGGTGCAAGCTGAGGGGTCCATACAGGACCCATCCCACAGTGGCTAGAGACTGGAGCAGGCCTCTGGGGTTTGAACTCAGGGTTTTACACTTGTAAAGCAGGCTCTCTACTCTTTGGGCCACACCTCCCGTCCGTCCATTTTGCTCTGGTTATTTTGGAGATAGGGTCTTGCAAACTATTTGCCTGGACTGGCCTCAAATTGTGCTCCTCCCAAGTAGCCAGGATTATAGGTGTGAGCAACCAGTGATAGGCTAAGATGTCAGTTGCCAGGAGGAATGGTGGTTGGGCCAACAGGCAAGGGTTCTAAACCAGAGGCCCCTTCCAGATAGCTTAAGGACAGGAAGACTGAAAGCCTTGAAGGTGAACCCAGCTAGAGACAGAGACCTTGGCTGCAAGTGGAAAGACCCTGGTGGACCCAGGATTCAAGCTGAGCAGCTTTGGCCAGAAGTATATGAGAGAGCAGCCAGTAAAGGACAATAGCACTCTGGGGTAAGATGCCAGGAGGATATGCAGTGCTTGAGACCACTTAAAGAATGTATACCTTCCCAGGGACTAAGCAAGGTGTTCTTCAAAACCCCTTAGGGGGCTTTTCCCACCTGGCCTAAGGGAGTCAGAAATGTCTCTGCCATTTCTGCTGAGGAGTTCTGTCACTGGCTACATGAATGTGGCCTTGCAGATGTGAGAAGGTTGGCTGGAGCAGCAGGGGCCTGGCCCAGGTTCCAGTGCAGCGGGTAGACATGGAGCGATTGCAGGCTAGGCACAGGTGGATTTGGACTGCTTGTCTTCACAAGCTATTCTGCTGGACTTCCCTTTAGCTTCATGTACTGGGTCACAACATGCTTAGGACTGGCTGGTTTTTACCATGGTGCTTAAATCTGAAGAGTTGCTTTGTTGGGAAAGGCAGGCCCTGGCTAGGAGGCAGAGAGGGGACTTGGATAGACTCCAGTGAGCTTCAGGGCACTATGAACTTAGAGGAAAGCAACTGTGTTGGAAAACCTTGGGGGACAGTGTGGCTGACTCAGCATGAAGGTTAAGACCAGGGGAGGAAGGTAGAGTTGCCAGGCTGAACTGACCAGATGCCCCTTGCCTACTCTGGGCCCAGGGCCAAGGCTGTGCTCAGCCCTGTGTTCTAGATTACAGATGTGATGCACAGAACCAAGGATGTACTCAGGGTCTGGGAATGGGTTCCCAGATGTCCTGGGCAGGGCAAGCAGTGGTGGCCTCTGCTCCAGCTGCTGCATTCTCCAGCAGTGAGGCCTCAGATACAGGGTGGTTGCCCAAGCCCAAAAGTAAAGTAGGAAATCTCTCTTGTGTTTCCTCAGGTTAGAAATCTGTGCTACATGGTTACAAGGCGTGAGAGAACGAAACATGCCATCTGCAAACTCCAGGAGCAGATATTCCACCTGCAGATGAAACTCATTGAACAGGATCTCTGTCGAGGTACACCCTACCCCATCTGCCGTTGGCTACCTCTGTGGTAGGCTGGGTCCGAAGGAGGGTGTATCTTCAGTTGTCTGTGTGTGGCATTGGGAATCATCAACCCCCTCCCATCTCTACCATGCAGTTATGAGGCCCGGATAGAACCGGGCAAGGTCCTGGTTATATTGGTAAGCAAAGAGCCAGGGTCTGGAACATGGGTCCCAGGCAAGCCCTCAGGGACCAACCCAGGTCTGAAGCAGCTTGTGTGTAACAAGTGCAGACCCAGAGTCCAGGTAGCTAGCTCTGTGCTGGGGGTAATGCAGGACAGGCAGTTGCTGGTGAGCTCCACTGAATCTGGTGTACCTGGGAGTCGATTCTAAGTAAGGCAGCTGCCGAGAAATGGGTCAGAGCCTGTGTGTTCCTTCTGTCTGACCCATGTGACAGGAATCGGGCCCTGGTCAGCAGTGGTTTTTTTCTTGCAATCACATGCATTTAATAAACCTGGAAATCAAAGGTTAAAGAAGCTCTGACATTGATCCTGTCAGTTAATCGTGGGTATTGACAGACACAGGGCCCTTCCTAGAGTGCAGACATGTTAAGAAGGGAGATGCTTAACCTCCCCACAAATCATGCTCTAACGTTGAATTAACATGCAGCAGAACTAGATGGGTGGAGAGAGATTTGGAGCCATGGGTGCCACTCCTAACTCAACCTCTGGGTCACCACTGAAGCAAATGACTAGGGACCTAGTATTGCCCCCATATCTGCAGAAAACTGAGCTGCCTCAATTGTGCTTTGGAATCACCACCCACTCTGGCATAAAAAACTAATGTTGCCAAGTATAGGTGCTGGGTCAGGTAGGTTGTGATCACACAGAGCTCACCATGCAGAACAGACTGGCAGCTTTGTGGCTGCCACAGCTTTCCCAGCTCCCTGTCTTCTGTTTATTCATTCAGTGAGCACTGACTGAACACAGATGGGGTGTCTGCCCTTGTGTCACCATCTGGAGAAAGAAAGTGATACTCCAGGGTCTTTAGTCAGTGGCAGTGCACATACTGGCATCAAGGCTGAAATAACATCTCAGGCTCCTTAGCACTTGACTGTGGCCACACATGTCTGACAAGGAAGCCCACACAAGATGTCTGCAGTCAAGGAAGCTGAGGGTGAAAGGGCAGGAACTGTGCCTTCCGACACAGGGTCCTAGAAGGAAAGGGGTCTGCATCCCTACATGGGATCCTGAGTGTTAGCACCAGGTAGCTTCAGGACTTGGCATTTGGACTAAAGTCTGATTTGCCTCTACCCCAAGCTGATACTCCTGTTTTTGTGGCCCTAGAGCCCTCGAGTGTGGTGTAGGCTGCAAGCATGCTGCTGAGGCCTGTGTGGCCTAGGGGCTGGACAGGCTCCCGGTGCTGGTGGTATTTGGGCCTTGATCTGAACCTGGTGAGGGACAGACAAAAAAAGAGCATAGGTCTCCAAAGACCTAGAAACCAAGTATGTCTTGGTAGACAAACTGGAAGGACCTTGCCATGACTGCAGCTGCGGGAAAGGACAATGCTTAAAATGAGGCTGTGGGGTAATAACCAGGTGAGAGAGATGTGGCAAGGTCTTGTGGCCTAGGGAAGTTGTCCAGACTGTCTCAGGTCCTCCCTTCAGAGTATGTGTGAGGAGACTGTGGCCCAGCCTGAGGTTGGTTGCTCTTGGGACGTAACAGCAGAGCCGGGGCTGCACTCCTCCACCTTCTCTTAACCTTGCTCCAGATGCCCTTCCACCCCTGGCTGAGAAGTTGGGGAAGATTCAAGAGCTGGGTCTTTTCCCTCCATATGTCTCTCCTTGCTCCCTAGACTTGCAGAGATCCTGGAATAAAAGAATGTGAGAGGCAGTGTGAGACCTGAGCCTCCCACCTACTGCCTGACTTCAAAAGCAGACCGGGAAATCAAGGCAGACTTGTTCAAGGCGGGGGCCGGCTATGGTGTCAGGCCCAGAACCTAAGCCTTTTGCCCCTCAGGTGGTATTCTTTCCAGTCTCCGTCCAGTTCCTAGGCCTGTCATTCAAGGCCCTGCCCAGTCCAATCTTGCCTCCAGCCATCACTCCACCCACCAGTGCTGTAGGTGGTGTAGGTCAGACTGTAGGTTCAGACCTTGCAGGTGAACAGAGGGTGAACATGGAGGGCGGACTCCTGGGCTGCCGTTCACCGAGGCCGCTCGGGTAACCATTGTCTCCTCGCTTTCCTTGATGCAGAGCGTTCTGGGAGGAGAGCAAAGGGCAAGAAGAGTGACTCAAAGAGGAAAGGCCGAGAAGGCCCCAAGGGCAGCAGCCCCGAGAAGAAAGAGAAAGTGAAGGCTGGGTCTGACTCAGTCCTGGGGCAGCTGGGTGAGTGAGGGGCCACGATTGCCTGGCAGACTGAAGCCCATACCATCATCCCACTTGCAGTTCCCTACCACACACACACACATAAGGCCAACTGCTCAGAACAGAGACAGCAGTCCTAGAGCGGTCACCAGCCCCTTCCTTGCCTAGGTGCCAACAAAGGGCAAAAGTTGCTGTCTGCAGACCTAGGCTGGGCCCTGCCAGAGCCCTGCGTGCTAGATTTTCCCTGAAGCTCCACAGCCAGTCAGTCCCTTACTAGGAAAGGAGGATTGCCAGAATGCCTTATTGCCTGTCCCACCACCTCTCATGGGCTCTTCCTCAACTCCAGCAAACTTTTCTGGAGTCCTGCCCTCCCAGAGAGACCCACCCAGAATGACAAGTGGGAGCAAGTTTGCACAGGCCTCCTTCATTGGACAGAACAGCTCTCAGGGGGCCTCAGTTCTGGGCTCTACTCCCTGGATGTCAGACGCTACCTCTAGAGCTCTTCTCTAGAGTACAGAGTGCAGTCCTCTTCTTGACCTTACCCCAGCATAGAAACCCCAGGTCATTTTTTTTTTGAATGTCCTCTTGACAACTTGAGTGGAAATGTGTGTAAAGATGCAGCGCCCTCTGCTGGCTCGAAGGCCTTTCCCTAGGCTCTTCCTTTCTTGTATCCTGAGCAAGTTAAGTTACATGGAGCCCTTGTGTTTGGTTTAGTGCCTTGAAATTCTTAGTAATAGTTAAACAAGGAACTTACTGTTTTATTTGTCCTCCACTCCACAAATTAGGAAGCCAGTCTTGGGGTAGGATGTCCCATAAGGGAACATGGTATGGCCTTGCTTTTTGGTAGTGGTGGGCGGGATGTACAGAACAAGATGGCTTGCCTGAGTCATCATGGAAGGAAGCTGGAAGAAGACATACAATGGTGCTGGGAGGGCTGGCGAGGACTTCCTGAAAGGGTGGGACACACCTCCCATATGGCATCTCACCTTCCTCCTCTCTCACCTCGGTCAGGCCTGTCCACCTCATTCCCCATCGATGGCACCTTCTTCAACAGCTGGCTGGCACAGTCAGTGCAGATCACAGCAGAAGACATGGCCATGAGTGAGTGGTCATTGAACAATGGGCACCGTGAAGACCCTGCCCCTGGACTGCTGTCGGAGGAGCTGCTACAGGACGAGGAGACGCTGCTCAGTTTTATGCGGGACCCCTCGCTGCGACCTGGAGACCCTGCCAGGAAAGCCCGAGGCCGCACCCGCCTGCCTGCCAAGAAGAAACCCCCACCACTGCAGGATGGGCCCGGTTCACGGACAACTCCAGACAAGCCCCCCAAGAAGCCCTGGGGCCAGGATGCAGGCAATGGCAAGGCAGGGCAAGGGCCACCGACTAGGAAGCCACCACGGCGGACATCTTCTCACTTGCCGTCCAGCCCTACAGCTGGGGACTGTCCTGTCCCAGCAGCCCCAGAAAGCCCCCCACTGCTAGTCCCCGAGACCCCGGACGAGGCAACCCCAATGGCTGCTGATACGAATGTCCAAGTGCCTGGCCCTACGGTGAGCCCTAAGCCCTTGGGCCGGCTCCGGCCACCCCGAGAAAGCAAGGTCACCCGGAGATCACCGGGTGCCAGGCCTGATGCTGGGACAGGACTGCCTTCTGCTGTGGCCGAGAAGCCAAAAGTCAGCCTGCACTTTGACACTGAGGCTGATGGCTACTTCTCTGATGAGGAAATGAGTGACTCAGATGTAGAGACAGAGGACAGCGGGGTTCAGCGTGGTTCCAGGGAGACAGGGGCTGAGGAAGTGGTCCGCATGGGGGTACTTGCCTCTTAACTCAATCCCTACCCCTATCCTGGGCCCTGCCCTTGTTCCCCACAAGGCCTCAGCCTAGTTACAACTGCCATTTCCAACTGCTGAGTGTCCTAGACCCTTGAGGCTGCCACTCTGTTGTGGTTTTATTTTTAATATAGAAAGAGTTTTGAATTCCACACTGTTGTCTTTCCTCTGTGCTGGCCTAGGACGTTAGGATTCCTTCCACAGCTCTGGCCACAGGGACCGGGCCAGGTCCTGTGCGCCACCCCTGTCCCAGCCCACACGGCATTGCTGGGCTTCTGGTTAGATGTAGGCAAGGTGAAGAAGAGCTCAGGACTCCTGCCCGCTGCCACTGGGTGACACAGACTGTAGTTTGGGCATTATTATGGCAGATGGGCCTGCCCAGGGCCTGCCCCGCCTTGCCCCCAAATTGCACTGGGGCCCATTTGGGGGGTCCTGCTGTACTCCACTGATCCCCAAGGAAGTATAAAGCGATACCCAGCCAGAGTCTACTCACTGTCACAAGCACAACGAGTTTATATGAGAAAGCACTGAGGGGGTGCAGGGGGAACCACTGGTTCCTGACCAACCCACATCATCTAAGGCCTGCCCGCCCACCCCACCACTCCCCCTCCCTTGCTGCTCTGCCCCTGCCAGCGCCCAGCCCAGCGGCTCTGGGAAGGGATTCGTAGAATCCTTCTTGAGCTGTTCTATTTACTCAGGGGACTCCCAAACAGCCAGCCACCAGTGTGGGTGGAGGGCTCCAAGGGAGGGCCAGTGCCCAGCCAGGGGCATGGGGCTCAGACCAGCCACTGCATAGAATTACTCTGGGGCTCCAACTTCCTTCCTTCCTTCCTTCGGGGCCAGTCTCTGCTGAAGTCGGGTCACTCCTACACGGAGCTGGCCAGACCAGACCGTTTGCCTTTTCAAGTTTCCTAGTCCTGCTAAGAGATGAGCTTCTTCCTCAGTTTCCTTTTGGAAACGCCTCCTTCCAACAGCAGTGGGATCCCGGGGCCCAGGGTGGGCCAGTGTTGAAGTCTTGCTGGATGTTCCTGTGTTCTTCCTTCCCTTTACGCCTTAACCCCTTTCCTCCACCCCACCTTCCCCCCCATCCCCTTTTTTCCCACCTCCCTATCCTACCCTGCAGGTCCCAGGTAGTTGCTCTGAAGAGTTTCAGTGGAGTGGCCCCAGGGTGATAGCTCAGGGAACAAATAAAAAAGGAATTCCGTGAAACATTTTTTTTTTCTTTTATGAATTGCTCCTGGGTCACTTCCACCACTGGTTAAGCCAGAACTTCTCCAACCAGAACCTTGCAAAAGTCCAGTGAATCAGTCGAATCATTCTATGGATGCCAAAGAATATTTTGACCATAATACAGCACAGCCTGGACCTGACAACTTGTCACTTGGACTTCTTTTAAATGGAGTTCTTTAGCAACAAAGTACAGAAACGGTCATTGCGCACACCCATGGAGGAGAGCCCAAGGCCTTGGAGGGGGAGGCTTTGCTGCTGCTGCTGTTGGATTTCAGAACCTGGGCTGGGCCACTGTGAGTGTTCCTAAACTCTGAGACCCCCTGCGAGGGGAAATCCTGACTGTGAAACCATCGTGGAAACCGTCTTTACCACGTGGTCCCCCCTCCCCCCACACACACACGTGGGAATACACAAAGAGCAAATAAGCGGTATGGGGAAAGACTTGACCTCCCACTCCGACTCCAAAACTATCAAGGTACGACAGTGGCGTTGTCATCGACACTCAATTTCATGTGAGTTTTAACAAAATCAGAAACAAAGATAATGACTTAAGTTCAGAGGATCAGACAAATTTGTCTAATCCAAGTGGACTCTTGAGGGTATGGGGTGAGCTCCAAGGATCTGGGCGTTAGGATGGCATGAGTACCACGTAGACTTAGTCTGCCTGCCCGCCTTGGTAGTAGTGACAGCACAGTGTCAGCATCAGCGTCCCCCACCCCAGTCTCTTGTTTACTGCCTTTGAACAGACCTTCCTTCCCCGTGCTTCGGGTCACTTTAGGTCACAACCTTATCTGCTGGATTTCTTGTTCTGACCCTGCAGTGGGCAAAGGGGTAAGCTTAAAGAACAACCAAACTCTGCCAGGTGTGGGGTTGCCAGCAAGGCTCGAGGGTCAGTGGTCTTGCCCTGACCCGTTCCTGGCACTCTGGGGTGGAGGCTGGGCTCTGGGTGGAGATTAAGGGGTAAGTGCAGGGGAATCTGATCTCTTGCCGGGGGCTGGCTGAGCTCCACAGTCACAGCCTGGACTGGGCGGGCAGATGGGCGCTGGCAAGTTTCACTAAGTTTCTGCTTACACTGGCCATTGGATTTTGGCCCCTCTTCTCTGTTGGCTGTTGCTTTGGACTAACTATCCCTAGGGCCCGTGTCCTGTAGAGGCCTGATGTCTGTTAGGCCAGCTGGCTGGTGGGCCCCTTCACTCCCAGGCCAGGCCCTAGGCCAGTCTTCATCAGGCAGCTGTCTCCACCTGCAGGATGTCTGCCAGGCCTCCAGGGAGGACAGGGTTCCAATCTCCTTCCTCCCAGTCCCCAGCAGCCCCCAGCCTTTCCCCATTAGCTACAGACCCTGTCCCCTGTGCTCTTTCCAGCTCACTGTCCACAGTGTAGAGGGCTTTGCTGCCCCACGACCACAGCAGATCTTCCCTTTGCCCACATTCCCTACCTCTCCTTACAGGGAGGCGGCATCTGCTCTGTCACTCATTCTGGCTATTGTCCCCCATTCTCACCAGTCCTAGCCACCTTCCACCTCCTTCCCTCTCATCACATGACAAAGGATAATGTGCAAGGAAAGTATTTTTATGTATCATAAATGTATTTTGAAACAAGGAGAAGAAAGGTAGAGTGCTCATTTATTTTGTTAAGTGAGCTCTGACTTTGTGTGTGAGCCTCTGCAATGTAAGGACCTCAGCTTCCTTGGAGAAACCACCCAGGGTTACCAGGCATAGGCGCTGGACTGTGTGTGCACCATGGCACATCTTTTATGTCCGTGTGCACACACGTCATTGTGCACTGTGTATGGGCACACTGGAATTCAGCTGCCCAGTTCTGCCAAACAGTGATGGGCAGCAGCTGGACCTGGCCTCTCTTACTCACTGCCAGATGTAGCCAACCTCTGCCCATGCCTGAAGCTCTGCAGAACAATCTGGATCCCTATAGCAAGGCCCTCTGGGAGACCACTGTCTCATGCCATTGGCCCGCTGGCCACATTGGCTAAGGAGCCAGGGCTGGAGTCTGGGACCTTTGGTTGTTCTTTAAGGCACTTCCTGCCGCCTTCTCCCTCAGATGCACAAACACTGTGCTCCAAATCGTCATGGGGTGGCGGTGGGAGGGATGGTATGAATGTCACAGGAGGAGACACCTTCTGTCTTTGTTTCAAAGAAAGTGATGTGCCATTTGTTAATATACAAGAGAAATATTGAAAATATATTGAAAAGAGCAATTTTAAATTATTTTTGGCTTATGTTGCAATATTTATTTTCTTGTATTAGAAAAGAATTCCTTTGTAGAGAAAAAAATGTATTTTTCATTACCGCAAAGACCTATTTCTCCTTTTTGTACATTGTCTGTGTTCGCAACCCTAAACGAGCAATAGATTGTATGGTCACCTCCATGTGGCCAGTGCCTGCCGTGCCCTGCATGATTCTGTGTTGCCGCTCGCTGCATAGCTCGCAGCCCCATCCTGTCCTGCTCACTCACTGGGGCTTCCAGACCCCGGCCCCTGCCAACCAGGGCCTGTGTCTACGGAGCCCTCTACACTCCTCGTGTGCTGGCAAACGCAGTTAATAAAGCAGTGTTTTCTGTGCTGGCTGGTGTGAGGCTCTGTTGCTTTGGATCCTGGGGATCTTTGCACACACCCAAGAGTCCTAAGCTACCTGCTGCAACCTCTAAGGGCAGGGTTTTGTGTGATCTTCAGTGTTATCCTCTGGAATTCAAAGGGGATGAGGGACATGCCCAAAGTCACACCTGATAAGTTCCGCTGTGCTGTCACCACCTCCAGCCACCAGTATGGGAGGATCCTCCTGCCTCTGTCCTTAGCTTAGATCAGTGGGGATTTCTTCCTGGGTTTGTTTTTCATTCATTACCATCAGCGTGGGGGATGTAGCCGACCCGTCCTTGGGTCAGCTCACAGGCCAGTGGGGTACACAGCTCAGGAAGGGTTTCGATTTCTATGAGGGAGTGACATCATTCATTCCTTCAGCAGTTAGTCTGTTGACAGTACTTCCATCTCCCTGTCAGTATGCTGGCTTGCTGTGCCCACAGAGCCTCCAGGTACTGGAGACCTAAAGAATCAACAGCAGAGCTGAGCAACCATGGTTGGGAGGCTGAGATTGGGAGGATCACAGTTCGAGGTCAGCCTGGGCAAATAGTTCATGAGATTCCCATCTCCAAAATAACCAAAGCAAAATGGATTGGAGATGTGGCCCAAGCAGTAGAGCACCTGCTCTACTGCTTGAAGTTCAAACCCCAGTCCCACCAAAATAAATAAATAAATCAGTAGCAACCCACGGGGAGCTGTATATGCATGTGGGGTAGAGAGCACTCGTGGCATTGAGCTCAGCATGTGGGAAAATAGGTCAAGTCTTGTCATTCATGGGAGGGAGCCTCGTGCAGTCTTGAAGCCCAAGAGATGAGAGGGCCCAGTGGAAGAGGTTAAATTGGGACTCCTAGAATCTAGGTTCTGGGGCCACTGACCTAGTCTTTTGTCACAGAGAATGGCCCATTTGGTCACAGTACAATAGGTGGTAGGTTCCCAAGTTTCCTCCAGTCCAAGGTTCTGTGGGTCTGCAGAAGGCATGAGAATTAAGCCTGGGTGGTGGAGTAGGAGTGGGCCCTGAATGTCTGGAGGAAGACCCCCTCACTGATGGGTCACTTCCTGCTGGGCACTAAGGCTCGACCCCCAGGATCCAGCTGGGAGTGGGAGGGCTTGGAGTTCTCAATCATTGAGGTCCTGGTAGGAACTCAGATGGGGGACTGAGTAGGCTTCTGAGGGAGATGCCCACCTACCTGTGGGATGGGACTGTCATCTCTATGTGCCAGCTGTCCTGGGCTCAGTAGCCTCCTTCCACAGCCACCGTGGTCCACAACCCTTACCCACAAAACTAATAGATGGGGCAGTAGGCCCCAAGGCACCTCTGGGTCACGGCAGCACTGTTAACGGAAATGCATGTGATTCACATACAGCACCTAATAGGAGCTTTTTTATTTATTTAATGCTTTTTGAGATACAGAATTTGAATTCAGGACTTTGTGCTTTCAAGGCAGGCACTCTACCCCTTGAATTCTCTCTGCTCTGGTTATTTTTGGAGATAGAGTCTTGCTTTTTGCGCAGGTGGGCCTAAACCACAATCCTCCTATTTTACACTTGCTGCCATAGCTAGAATGACAGGCGAGAACAGTCACATCAGATTTTTTTTCATTGAGATGGGGTCGCAAAAGCTTTTTTGCCTGAGTTGGCCTTGAACCACAATCCTCCTGATTTCAGCCTCCCAAATATGCTGGCACCTGGCTGTTCTTTTTTTTCTTTTTCTTTTCTTTTTTTTTGGGGGGTGGGGGAATACAGGCTCTTACTCTCACTCTGTAGTCCAGGCTTTGACTTTAAACTCAATCCTCCTGCCTCTGCCTCCCAAGTGCTGGGATTATAAGTGTGAACCACCATGCCTGGCTTAATTGTGTACATTAATTGTGCAATGGGGCTTCATTGTGATATTTCCATGGTACAGCTCCATGTGGATCCACCACATTTCAAGGGCTCAAAGTCATGTGGCTTGTGGCTATCAAGATGCTGCAGTCCTAGGGACATTCAGCTTTCCAGAGTGGCTCCTATGGAGTGTGGCATGGCCACCCATGAAGACTCTCTGTCCTGCTTTAGGGAAGGCAGGAGGCTGAGGAACAGGCCTGACTACATTCCTGGCTCAAGTCCTTGGGGGATCCCTCTGCACCCTTAAACCCACATGGCTGCTTTAAGGCAGGCATCACGTCCGACAGGGTCTCTTCTAGCCAGCAGAGGGCACAGGTGTGCAAGGGGAGCAGGTGTCACTCACCATCCCTCCATTTCTGCATTCATTGACTTGGTACTCACTAAGCACCTGCTGAGGGGCCTTGAGGATGTGGTGATGGATATATGCCCCATTCCAGAGAGACCAGGTGAGTGTGGGAGGCAGTGTGTGATCAGACAATCACAAACCAGTGAGACTGTGCTGATAGAAGTATAAACCTGGGGAGTGTGCAGGGTCCTCCTCTGTCCTTCCTGAATTCCCTTATTTGCTCTAGACTTGCTCGGTGGATTCTGGGCACCATCTGCTGCCTGCCAGGCCCCAACCTACATGCCTTCAGCTGTGGCTCCCAAGGCCACCCTGCATATCTAGGTCACAGAGCTTCAGCCTCCCACCTCCCTGTCCTCTCTGAGTCTCCTGCAGGCAGCAGTCCCTCCCCACAGTCCTTTGCAGACCAGGCCAGAAAAGGGGCTTCTCTACTCACCTGCAAGAACAGGGAGACAGTGAAGATACAAGATGCCTCCAGGGAGAATAGGACATTGGCTGAGGCCTGCTGGGTGCCCAATTGTGGGTGGGGTGAAGAGGCCAAAAAGACTTAGGCCCTGCCACCTTGTGACTGACAGGTTCAGGAAGGAAGTCACCAGTGTGTTGAAGAGGGAGCACTGGATTCTTCCAGGCTGGCTCTGTCTGTGTCCAGAGTCTTCAGTGAAGGCAGCCAAGGCGTCTCTTCCTGGAGATGAGGGTCTCAGGTGCATAGAGGAGGCCTCTGACTCATGCCTGGAAATGCAGTTGCTCAAAGTGGTCACCCAGCTCCTCTGCCCTTCACAGAAAACCTCCATGTGGAGGGCATCCACAAGGACGACTCCTTGGCACTGTGAAAGCCAAGTCCCCAGCCACCTGTGTGTGTCTGACTCAGATGAAAGATTCAGGCAGGGAACGTGAGACATCATCATTTGGGATGATAAAAGAAGGGATCATAAAATACAGATTGTAGGGCAGATTTTAGGGTCCAGGCAGACTCTCAGCTAAGAGTCAAGAGAAGAAGGAAAGGATGGGGACACAGTGAAGCAGGTGACTCAAGGTGCAAACTTAATGCAGCAGGCTGGTGCTTGGTACCCAGTGCCCCAAGCCAGGCTTGAGTCCACAGCATCTATCGTGGCCCATTCTGGGTGACCCAGGCTAGGAGTACAGAGGCCTGAAGGGAAACCATTAGTCAGTAGGAGGGAGGACTGGCAGATTGAACAAATAAAAATGCCAGACAAATAGTTATGTTCCACAGATCCAAGACTATCCCGACACCCCAACAGGCTCACCCTAGTGTGAGAGCAATGGCAAGGAGCTGTGGCAACCAGGACACACAGAACCCAGCTGCACCTGTCTTGTTCCCAATGCACCCTCTGTTGTATTTCATGGCCAAACCACAGCTGGACAGAACCTCTCAAGTGTCCTTGAAGGGACACTGCATCACAGAGTCATTTTTTGCTTGTCTAAGCTTCACATCTGAGGAGTTCATGTTGGTGGAGGCACTAGCCACAGTAATCAAGAAGTAAAAATGGGATAAAGCCCCCTTATCCTCAGGGTACCCTCAATGGAGGCCTGAAAATGTGGATAGTGTCAACCCCTATTATAAAGTTTAATTTATAAGTGAGGCACAGTATGACATTAACAATACCAAAAGGAAACTACTCACGCCTGTAATCCTAGCTATTCAGGAGGCAGAGATCAGGAGGATCTCAGTTTGAAGCCAGCCCAGGCAAACAGTTCGCAAGACCCTATCTTGAAAATACCCAACACACACACACACACACACACACACACACACACAAAAGGGTTGTTGGAGTGGCTCAAGGTGTAGTCCCTGAGTTCAAGCCCCAGTACTGCAAAAAAAAAAAAAAGAAATTAAAGTATTAAACTCATGTATGCTTCTGCCTTTCCCAGGTGCTTGTTACTCCCCTAAGTCCTCCAGCTGAGAACTCTTTTCTTCATTATTTTTAACCCTACACCCCAAGGCTTTTTGCACAGTGCTGTAGGAAACACCTGCCCAGGAGTGAGATTTCTTCTCTGCCGCTGACCTGCTGTGCCTGCTTCCCCATCTGGACAACGGGAGAAGAGTTTGGGAAGTATTTTGTTCTCTAAGATCCAGCTTGGGGACGGGCTCTTGCCCAGAGAGGTCAGGTGAGAGTTTTCTAGGGCTCTTCAACTTGAAGCAGTTGGGTAAGGTGGAGCGGGTCAGCACTTGGGGCTAGGTGAGCCTCCAGCCTAGACTTGGGCAGAGAGACAGGAGGAAGCTTTGTCCCCTCAGCCTGGACCATTGCACTATCAGAACACCTTTGTGTCTGCTGATCCATTTGTCACCAGGTGAGGGGGCCACCAGGAGCATGGGACTAGCTGTGAGAACGATAATGGTATGAAATGCCAGGTCTGGGGGCTTGGGGTATAACTCAGTCATACAGCACTTGCCTAAAGTGCATGAGGCCCTGAGTTCAAGGCAGGGATGGGGTGAATCATGGAGCAGGGGCAGGGCAGGAAGGCACTAGAAGAAAAGGTAAGACATTGGTGTCCAGTTTGGGTGTGAGGTCTATGCCTCTTTGGTATGTCTGGATGCCTGCAAGATGGGTACAAGCCGTTGCCCCAGGTCTAGAAGTGATCCTCAATCTTCCTACAGTCTTAGCATCCATTAAACATGGGCCATTCGTGTCTAGAGAATTCGTGCTTGAATGCACCATGATGGAGTAATAGAAATGAAATTGTGTGGGCCTTGGGTCGTGACAAATTAGGTAACTGTGTTCTAGCTCTTTCTGGGTCTCAGT